TGTGCTTCAAGGTTCCAGGGCCGTTTCCGCATCTCCAGCGGATGCTCGGGATTGTTGGAGTGTAGCCAGGCCCGGACTGGCCATCGGGCACACCGGGCAAATGCCCGGTGGGCCGCGGTGGCCGTGGGGCCGAGGCCGGCAGGGAGATCACATGATCTCTCCTGACGGTCTTTGCAGGGCCGGCGCTATCTGAACGCCGGCCCTGCAGTAGTCCATGGAGGGCCGGTGGGGAGATCAGAGATCTCCCCACCGGCCCACATGCAGGATAGTGCGGCCGCCGGGGGAGAGAGGGAGGGAGCCAGCGGAGCTTTAACTAACAGCTCCGCCGGGTTCCTCTCGCGAGATTCGGAGCGTTGCCATGGCAACGCTCCGGGTCTCGCGAGAGTGAACTCTAGCCTTACAGGCTAGAGTTCACTCACCACTAGGACCACCAGGGATGGATGGCAGCCCCAGCAGCAGGATCCCCCTCCCAGGCTAAAGGTAAGCAGGGAGGGGGGAAATAATCACCTAACTAACATCAGCCTCACAGACACCCCTAACACTCACAGCACCCTCATTCACACACACACACTGCACCCCTGACACTCACAGCACACACACACACACTGCACCCGTGACACTCACAGCACACACACACTGCACCCCTGACACTCACAGCACACACACACACTGCACACCTGACACTCACAGCACACACACACACACACACTGCACCCCTGACACTCACAGCACACACACTGCACCCCTAACAGACTCACAGCACACACACACTGCAACTGACACTCACAGCACACACACACACTGCACCCCTGACACCTCACAGCACACACACACACACACACACTGCACCCCTGACACTCACAGCACACACACACACACTGCACCCTGACACCACAGCACACACACACACGGGCAACTGACACCTACAGCACACACACACACACACACGGCACCCCTGGACACTCACAGCACACACACACACACACACTGGGTAACCCCTGACACTCACACACACACACACACACACTGCACTCTGACACTCTCACAGTACACACACACTGCAATCGGGCTGACACCCACAGCACACACACACACACACACTGCACCACACACACACTGCACCCCTGACACTCACACACACACACTGCACCCCTGACACTCACAGCACACACACACACACTGCACCCCTGACACTCACAGCACCCTCACACACACACACACTGCACCCCTGAGACTCACAGCACACACACACTATACCGCTGACACTCACAGCACCCACACACACACTGCACCCCTGACATGCACAGCACCCTCACTCACACACACTGCACCCCTGACACAGCACACACACACTCACATCACCCTCACTCACACACACACACTGCACACCTAACACTTACAGAACCCTCACACACACTGCACCCCTGAGACTCACAGCACACACACACTGCACCGCTGACACTCACAGCACACACACACACACACACACTGCACCCCTGACATGAACAGCACCCTCACTCACACACACTGCACCCCTGACACAGCACACACACACACACACACACTCACATCACCCTCACTCACACACACACACTGCACACCTAACACTTATAGCACACTCACACACACACACACAGACACTGCACCCCTAACACTTACAGCACCCACACACTGCACCCCTGACATGCACAGCACACACCCTATCTGGCCCCGCCCCCTTTGTAGTGGGCCGCTGTAATTAAAAAATGCCCGGGCCGAATTATCTTCCCAGTCCGGCCCTGAGTGTAGCGGTTAATCAGGGAGGGTGTGCGATACCAGTACGTGAGTAGTTTAGTTCCTGGTAGTATGAGCCAGTGGAACTTTTGTGTTGCAGTATTAAAATCTTTTCCCACGGGGCATCCGAGAAGGATTCCTCCGTCCATTCCTCCCATTGCCTTTTGTATAAGGTGTTCTCTGTTCTGTGTCCTGTCAGTATGCTTTGATATATCGTGGAGACCCTCCCTTCTGTCCCTGGTGTCTGTGTGCTTTGGTTCTCGAACCATGTGAGGTCCCTATGTATTTTGGCACTGTGTGGTAGATTGTGGTAGTAGTGTGTCAGTTGGGCGTAATGGAATTGGTGCATCAGCATGTGAGGCCTACCCTCCGTTGTTTCTCGCAGTGGTTTCACTCCCGTGTTGCTTAGAGTTGCGTATATGGGTATGTATCCGTCTTGGTTATCCATCCGCCAAGCTGTCGGTGGGAGGCTGTCGCCTAGGTTAGGGTTGTATGTGATGGGTATCAGCGGGCTGGGTTTGGCGAGATCTGCTGTCCTTTCCTCAACGTATTCCAGTGTCTCAGGGTGTGCGTGAGAGGGGATTCCTCCCCCAATATTACCTGTGCGTCAGCTTCTCTATGCCATATCAGTGTATGTAGTCTTTTATCAGTGGTGTCTCTCCAGAGTGTTACCCACCGTAAGGCGTGTCCGTGTGAAGTTCATTGAGTCTCTGCAGTACTGTTGCCTGGTGGTATCGTCTGATGTCAGGTAGGGATAGTCCCCCCCCCAGCTTCTTGGTAGGCAGAGTTTGTCATAGCCAATGCGGGCCTTCTCTCCTCTCCATATGTATTGTGTGATTGCCGTTTTGAGTGTCATGAAGAATGTTTGCGGTATCACCAGTGGAGCCATGTGAAATATGTAGAGTAGCCTGGGTAAGACATTCATCTTTAACACCGGGAGATCCCCAGCCAAGATATGTGGGGGTAATTCCATCTTTTGAGGTCCCTGAGGATGGTCTTGAATAGGGGTATGTGGTTGTGGGCGTAGATGTCCTTTGCCGTGTGTGTGACCCACAGCCTGAGATATTTCATTCGGTCTGGGCACCAGTGCAAAGGGAATTGCCTTTTTAGCTGTGCGCATTCCTCCTCAGGAACCGTGATGTTTAAGATCTTGCATTTAGTGATGTTCAATTTGAGTCCGGACAAGCGTCCGTATGTTTAGAATTCCGACATTAGCTGTGTGGTGGAGGTTAGTGGGTTCTCGAGGAAGAACAGCATGTCGTCCGCATATGCGGCCACTTTGTGTTCGTGCGTTCTATACCGCAGACCCATTATCCTTTCATTTTTCCTGATGCGCTCCAGTAGCGGTTCCAGGGTGAGGGCAAACACCAGGGGTGACAGCGGGCAGCCCTGTCTTGTGCCGTTTTTAATGTTGAAGCTGTCGGTGAGGGCCCCATTCACTCTGACTCTTGCAGTCGGTTGGTTGTAAAGCGCTGTGATCCATGTGAGCATGCCATCTCCTATACCTGTCGCGCGTAGTGTTTCCATCATGAAGTTCCAATCTACTCTGACAAAGGCTTTTTCAGCATCTATCGACAGCAGTAGTATCTTTGTTGCGTTTTTTTTTGCTAAATGTTGTATGGCAAATAACCGTAAGGTGCAATCCCTGGCCTCGCGGCCAGGTATAAAGCCCATCTTGTCTGGATGTACCAGTCTCGCCATATAGGTCTGTATTCTCTTCGCCAGAACCTTCGAAAACAGCTTGACGTCTGCGTTGAGGAGTGAGATTGGGCGGTAGTTTCCGACCTGTTCGGTGTTCTTGCCCAGCTTTGGGATCACCGCTATTGTCGTGGCCAGGGCCTCCTTGTGAAAGGCATTGCCATCCCTCAGGCTGTTTAATGCCCTAGTAAGGTGTGGTATGAGGATGTGTCAGAATTTCTTAAGATATTCCACAGGGAAACCGTCTGGCCCCGGTGCTTTGCCTGTTTTCGCTTCTTTTAGTGCTAGTCGGATGTCCTAGAGTATTTCACCACTTCTCGTATATGTTGTTTTTTGCTGGTGTTAGTGCTGGATTTGCAAAAGTCAGAAGAGAACATGTGAAAGTGGACAATTTTATCCGCAAATTAGATCATATTAGATGTTGCGATAAGAGGTAGAGATATAAATAAATACTATGATCGTAGTGTAGGTGGTATAATCCCCACCACAGGATTCTTTGTCCAGGGATCAGCGGTGAAGACATATCTCAGGATGCCAGGATTCAAATTAGATATTATGGTAAAATAGCAAAAAAGTTTATAACTTTTTTTTTCTATTTTACCATTATTTCTAAATTGAATTGTGGGGTCCTAAGATACATCTTCACTGATGATCCCTGGACAAAGAATCCTGCGGTGGGGATAATACCACCTATGCTATTATCATAGAGCGGTTCACCTGCTCTTTAAAATATAAGTAAGGCTCCAAGTATTATTTACAGTTTTAATCAGAGAGCACTATATTGTTTACTCTTTTTTTTTTATGGTCCCAATCCTGCTTTTACAAAACCACACCGACACTGTTGTATGCATCTGTGCGGATCTGTACCACTGCACGGTGTATATATTAGAGCTGGCCATGAGCTCCACCCCATGTGAGTTGGCATTCACGATTCTGCATGTTGTGTGCATCTCACTTATCAAGACTGCACTATTGGATTTTTTTTCCTGGTTTTCTGTACATGTATTCTTGGTTATACCTTAAGCATCTGTAAGAAGCTAGACTATCTTCCCTGAACTGCAAGATAATTATATCCAGAACTATACCATAATATCTGTTATTGCTTATTTCATACCTTTTGATTTTCCACAATAATTTGTTTTCATCTATCGCAACCTGTTTTTTTTTTTTTTCATGAGGGACTAGGCACCCACTACTATTGGGCTAGAGAGCTTGCGGGAAGGGGTGGAGAAAATTATAGCTTACTACTCAGTATTTGTTTAATTCCATCACTCAGCAAAGGGCTCTCCGGGCCTTCGTTTTTCATAAGAAGAGTTATTAGTACAGGTAATATCAACCCAGAGTATTAGAAGCTAGAGTTTTATGGAGCAAAACAAGTTTTAAGGACAGAAGGTATGAAAGGATGAGTATGTAGAACTGATGGATTAAAATAAAGTAATGGGCCACAAACTGTAAGTGTAAAATGTCACCATTCAACATCGATCTGGCGACCATTTATATTTTACATATCTCACTTGATGTATTCTTATGACACTTTCACATTGAATGGTAGAAAAGAAAAAAACAACAAAAATTATGATAAATTACACGTTTACTTGTATTAATACTGATTTTAAGAAGTCCCCAACATATTTGCAAAAGAAGCAAAAAGATAGGGTATCAAACAAACGTGAGCACAGAAAATGCATTGTAGACAATTTTGTTTCATTTAGTTTTTTCATGTTTTCTATGCAATGTCTAAATTATTCTTTTTTATTGTTGTTTATTGCCCACTGTATTTGATTTGCAGTATGGATTGTTCATAGACATAACCCGTTTGCTGTCAGCAGTATTTCATTGGAAAGAAATGGGGTAAATATTTGTCATGACATGAGATATTTTGCAGATATAAATCTATATGTCATATTCTTTTAAAACAGACAATAGGTAATTTTCCTTTAAAGTCTCCATTCTCCTCTTTCGAGCCTGTCAGTCCTCCACATTTGAAAACCTCCCTTCTTATTTTGGATTTTTGGCCAGTAACCCACCCAATTCTGCAATGACTGACATTCCAATGTGTTACCCACAATGGACCTTTACAACCTCTCTCTAGATCCAGCAACTTGCTGTGGGTAGAGAAAATAACAGACAAAGAGCTGATGACCCCTGCTCTATAGAAACTTGCTTTATTCTCTGGAATAATATGTTCCCTTGACGTCATCCTCTCGGGGCCAAAGTCTTAAAAACCTTGGCCGGTGGTAGAAAGACCACCGGGCATCTTCTCCAAACTTAGACTAATGCCCATTGCTTGGGTAAACACCACAAAAGTTCATCTTCTGTGTCTTGCCGATCTGATGTTCTGCTCACATTCACTCATTGCCAGACTCCTCCACTCCTTGATTTTGGACCTCTGGCTCCCATAGAAAGAACTCATGGAGGAGAGTGTTGACAGCTTCTGGACATTCCAGCATGACCATGTGACTACCTTCTTCTATAACCTTTAAGAACGAGATCAGGAGGATCTGTGGAAACATTGAATATATCAATTGATTATATATTTACATAAGGTTTTAAATGCTTGTACGTTTTTTTTAAAATGAACGTCAATGGTTTTTGTTTAGTTTATAAACAGATAGAATGCACTTTCTGTGGGTTCTATCTGAATTCTTATATGGGTCTATGAAACGAGCAAAGCAAAAAAAAAATATTAGACATCAAACATGGCAACTAATGTCATGTACCAATATGTGCGCTAGATGCCTATAGCATATGAGCAACATGATCTGTGGAAAATCCTGATGACTTAAAGTCGGATTTTTGTATTTTGTTTTTGTTTTTCCTTTGCTTAGGCCCCTTGTATCTTGAACATTTTACCACCCCCTCCCCCATCCTCCTGACTTTTTTTTTATCCTTTTGTTCTCGTGAGGGATTTCAATACATGGGTGCCACCATATTGTTCTCTTCTGTCTTTGATATCTATATCTCTGGGTTCCATGAAAGCACCTTGGTTTTGTGATCTCTAGGTCTGATGCAGTATCTCACAGTGCCACTACTTGCTGTAGTGCTGTTGCAGACTGGAGAGATCTGATTCTGCTCCCAGCTAGTCCTCTTCTGTTTACTTTGGAAGACCAGGCTTTCCCTTAGTTAGGTAGCAGAATATTTGTTTACGGTTGGTATAATGTACTAATGTCTGGCTGTTTTTCCTATATTATGCCAGCGGCCAACTCCTTCATTTCAAAGCCCTGCCCTGTATCCTGTTCCCAGAAGGCCTGGTCCTTGATTCCAGAGGAATATCTTGTACGCTGAAGTCTCACTGCCAGTTCATGTGCCAGGCCTCTACCAATATCTCAAACCATGCTTTCTGTCTGCATCCTAGTATTTAACCCCTGTGTATTTGCTAATCATTTGCTGATGATACTAAGATATGTAACAGGGTTGATGTTCCAGGAGGGATGCTCCCTATAAGAAGAAGTAATCCCTACTTTTTCCTATGTATATCTAATAAACTAAGCTGAAAAAATATGGAAAAAGAGAAAGACCAAAATAATCATTTAAAGTTGCATCCTGCAAAATAAACTATAAAAGAGATAAAGAATAGAGAAGATGGTGGCATCAAAAAAGTGTACCTCTTCCTGTACTTTTTATCTCACTATTGTGACATTTTATGAAAATGGACCAACTTGCTGGGTTTTGTAAAAAAAAAAAAAAAAAAACCTCTAGAGATATCAATATTTAAAAATGTAAAATCAATATTTTTTTCTACTCTATTATAAGCTCCTTTTGGAATGGACACACCTTTTCATGTGAGAAGTTTTTACTCTCCAAATGTATCTTGTTTTTAAGGACTTACAAGAATATAAATTTCCATTGTGCTTTTTCATAAGATGTAGTCTTCACCCTTTACTTGTTTTCTAAAGTTTCATTTGGTGCTGCAACCTCCCATCCCACTTTCCCCTTCCAAGCTGAGCTATACATGTGAAAACCACTGCTTTGGTAGTAGTACGCATAAGGCACCAACACCAGGCGCTGTTTGTCAGGCGATAGCAATGAAATCTGTACCTCTGCCATTCTTTGGTCTTCATCGAGTGGAACAAACTTGTCATGCATGCCATGCACCAAGAGGATGGGAACAGTAAGTTCTGCGTGGTAAACTTCATCCCCTTCTGGCCAGTACTGACCACTCATCATGGCTCGTAAAACAAAAGATGACACGTTGAAGGCATTACCCTCCCGTAGAAGCTGCTTCTCTTTGGCACCTTGTCGTGCAAAGCCAGCCCTGGCAAAATAATTTGAGAATTAACCACACACCCTCAGCTATCCAAAACTGACTAGTAAATTGTGTAAGAACAGTTCTACAATATCAAAACACATACAATTTCACCACTGCATCTGGCTAGACTAATTTTCCCATCTGAGAGAAAATGACATTAGAGAGATACACCATTCTTAAAGACCACAGCTAGTGACTACTTACTTGAGGAAGCTCCAGGCCAGACATGGTGACAGGCAGTGTAGGACACAAGTGGGCATATTGAAGATGGAGCACAGGCTTGGTTCAAGTGCTGTGGGGCCTCCCCCGTTTACCATAACCACCTTGTGGACCAAGTCAGGATATTCATGGGCTAGGAAAGTGCAGAATGAGACTCTACAAAGACAAGGATAAAACAAAAGTTTAACAGTTGACTGTTGGGTCATTGAGGATTTTTCTTCAAGATGTCTTAGGCCAAACTTCAGGTGTTTGGCCTAAGATGCTGGTCTGCTGAATCTCGTGCCTATTCTGCCCAATGTCAGTTCCTTCCACACAACAGGCTTAAGATTATGAAACATTGAAGGAATAAAATGTGGATGCTGTGGATTCTGAGTCACTGAAAACTGATAGTTCACCAAGTATAAACAAAGACTTCCTTTCATCTACTTAGGATAGTTTTCTCCACATATTTGCCTCATAATACTTTTTTTTTCCCTGCTTAGCCCATGTTCACACTATGTGCTTTTCTGCAATATGGAAAAATTATTCTCTGTGCACATCACTTTTTATCTTGATAGTATCCCTTTAATTATATTATTACTACAATTAGCATTTAACATGTAATTTCATCTTACTGAAAATATAAAGCAGTAGGGTCTTCAATAGAGGTTTCTCAGCTTCAATTATACATTTGAAATATCATTTAGTTTCCTTTGTTCCTTGACATTTAAATTTAAAGGCTAGAAAAGGGTCCTCCTTTTTGTGTTAAAAAAATCCACATTATACTATACCTTTATTCCATCACTATAGTCTAATATTGCTGAACTCATCAAGATTAATGACTTTTGACCAATCAAATGCTTCTCATAGAGAAGTATTACAGACATATGGCACATGAGCTGTAGTTGCTGCAATCAGCCAATCGGATGCTTCGCTGTGAGAAACACTGGGTCACACCTAGTTTCATCAGCATACTTTGCATGCTGATGCCGCACATCATATAGATTCAATGATAACTGAATCTATTTTAGTTTGAAGCCCATATTGGCTGCTTGAATGATTCAGCATAGGCAATGCAAGACGCAAACACTGTGCATTTACAAATCTGCAGGGGCAGCAGGCAGCTTCTGTGCTCCAAAAATCACTTTACTAAGATGGAGTGATTTTGAAGACTGTGTCTTTAAGGAGGTGATTCACATTAATACATTACACATTACTAAAGTGAAAATTAAAAGTGAATTTCAAATTTAAGATCAAGATAGCCTTAAATTTGAAGTTCACTTTCAATTCTTACTTTAGTAAATAACCCTGACAAATATGTATTTTTAGATTAATGGTTTCTGTTGGGCAAGAGAAATTTGAAAAAAAGAAAACAGAAGAATCTAAAATGTCATTAGGAAGAGGCGAATATTAACTAAAAGTTATTTAGAATGTTTAAGGTTGTGCTCATTATGCATTTAAAACATTGTGTTGTTTGCATGACATTGACATGTTGCTTCATTTATACGAGTATATAATTACAGAGCCGTTTCTGACAGCAGTGCTTTAGATATCCTGCTAGGATTTAGAGTACTTAGGGTTGCAAGGGAGATGTGGTTGGGAGAAATTACCAATAAGGAGGGCCTACACACATGCAGCGGGCTGTAAGTCTGTTAAAAGCCTTGAATTTAAGATTTTTAAAGTGAATCATATGCAAACATATATTGGTAGATGGAAAAAAGTTCATTATATTATGTCTTGAAAACAAGACACATATTTTTCTATTGGCTAGTTACTAGTAGAAAACTGCTAGCATGGCTAATTTTATATTAACAGTATTTAAATATCAATGCATATTCTTCACACAGTGCATTGATCAGCACTATTGGATATATATTTCTGCACATCAACAAGAACTCACCCATAAGAATGTCCGATCAATATGTTCCTCTTCTTGGCATAGCGTTTGAACATGTACCTCATGTCCTCTGCAAGTGCGTAAAAAGTATAGGCAGCGCCAATCTGGGGGGCGGCACTGGCTCCATGCCCCACCAAATCAGGGGCCACTACCTCATAGCCAAGCTTGGAGAAGAATTCAAGTTGTTCCTTCCAAATGTCAAGAGAGCCTCCAACTCCATGTATAAAGAATAATACCACGTCAGAATGGGTTCCTTTACATCCAGTCACCTGTCTTTGGCAGTCGACCACCACTACCTTCTTTGGTTTGCGTTTTCGGCGCTTCCCAGGGGGTACATCACTCTCTTTTCCAGATACACCTTCATTGCCCGTGCTAGTAAAATCAGATAATTCCACCTCTACTGTCCCAGCAGGCTCAGAATTCCCATTGCGACAATGAAATATCTCAGATCGCAGGTTTGCACCTAGATTTTCGATCACCAGTTGCCCATTGCGGTAAACGGTGATACGACGTTTGCAAGGGACCATGCCTTGTCCTGGATTTTTCTTTTTGTCTAATTCTTCTTGCTCTCCCCCTCCTGGACGTGAAGGCAAATAATGTCGCACTCGTAAGATCCTTCCAGGTTTTACTTCCAGGAAATCGTAGCCATCGCTGGTCTCTGAAATATCCACAGGCCCCACAGAATTTGGTGTTTTGCCAGTTAGGCAATACATAATGCGTTCTGCTATGCTGGTCAACATGGTGTGTCCTGCAAACAGACAAAATAGCATAAGGATACCTCAGATTAGGGGATGAATAAAAATAAGATTCATAACTAGCTATGCAGAAATATGATAGCTCACCTTGTCCCTGGGTCATGAAAAGAGCAAAATGATAAAACATATTATAATTATAACCAACCTCCTGTTAGCGCTTCAAAAAGCTGCACACATGAATATGGATGAGTTAGATTTTCTCATGAAAATTAAAGGGACACTATAGGCATCAAAACCGCTTTAGCTTAATTAAGCAGTTTTGGTGTACATATCATGCCAAGTTTCACTGCTTAATTCTCTGCCATTTAGGAGTTAAATCACTCCCCTGGCTGTGACTGACATAGCCTGCATGAAAACAAAATGGTTTTTGAAATGCTGTACAACCACTGAAGTGGTTATGATACTTCAAGTAACACTTAAACTGATTTTTCAATGGTATATGACTTTCCACATTGCCACATAAAGTATTTCCTACCACCTCATCCTGCTCAAATTCGGTGGTCTCTAAAATCATTGGCATGTTCAAGTATTCACTGATTAACTACCTATTGTGGGATGCTAACAGAGATATTTACTGAAGTGATAATTCAAGGTGAATTTAAAGTGAATTTCAAATTTAAGGCTAGAGTAGCTTAATGGAAAGCATAGCTGACTTAGATATTTTTTTCAGTTTGGCTACTAAATCCCTTTGATTTCTCACTTTCGTGAATAAGCCTGCATATCTTTAATGCCTCTTTAATGAATCACTTGTCCAGACCAACTCTAAAGGACTGATATTAGACAGCTGAATTCTTCGAGGAGCTCAGATGGTCGTTTAAGAATCCCTATAATAGTTATTTGCTTATATAGGCACCCTGTGTATCTTACCTTCAAACCTTATAATTTATTCATTACTAGATTTTGGGAAACAAGGTTGCCAATTTCTGTATTTTATGTTCCGTGTATGAGATTATATAATTGTTTATATGTACTGTATTTGTTCTGATGTACAGTAACAAACATGTTATTTCAGTAATATTTTTTTCTTTTTTTTTATCCTCATATTTCCTTTCTTAACCTTATATATTATATTGTTTTATACTTGGAGTTTACACTTAGTTTACCAATCATCATATATTTATTTATCTGCTTTTGATATGCTCAGTAAATTATTTTGTACTATACACATTCAATATTATCTACTCAATTTTTCTTTGCAATAAATAAACGTTAAAAACAACAAAATAAGCCAGTAACAATTTGATGTGGAAGGAGGACATCTGGGATGTATGTAATGTTATGTTAATGTTAAAGTTGTCCTTTCATTTCAGAAGCAACATGTATCTTAGATACAATTACATTTTTTTAACTTCGCTTTGGCTGTATTGCAACTTTAGGATCTTTGATGCCTGGATTCATTTTATACCACCCACACAAGCACACAATATTCCTCCTGGCCTCATCTACAATGCAAATTAACTACAGACCACAATGCATTACATTAAAGTTCCACTCTCCAAGGAAACAAATATTTCTAGGATCAAAAAAAGAAACAACTGTTTAAACCGACGTTTTAAAGACTAAAAATTACTACATTTCCATGAAGACTTTATTTATTTTGTGCACACAAATATAGTCAAGTGACATCTGCCTGTCTGCTGTCTCCAATACAGAGCATTGTTCTAGAAAGCAGACACATCAAGTCATGGCCACAATATCGTACACATTATATGCACGTATGCACAGTCTGGTAAAACTTAAAGGGACACTGTAGGCACTGAATTCCAGAGAGTCTACACTTTAGTGATCAATCCTAATTTGTATTAAGAACTCTGTCGAAACGAATGCCTCCTAACCAAACAAGTACCATTGCGAAAGCTATAGTCATATTCTGCTGCCTTGGTCTGCAAGTTATGTTTTACTTGACTTAGACACAAATCTCTGAGGAGTTATTTACTAAACAGAAAATTGTAGTGATCCTGAAAATTAAACTGCAACAATTAGACTAAAATGTAACTATAGCTGGGTTGGAGAAATATTCTGAATCAGTTATTTTTGCCCAATTTTTTTAATTTAGTTTTCAATTCACAACTCATTGTTTGATCTACACTAGTCTGCACTAAAATGACTAAAAGTGCTGGACTGTGATAGCTTACTAAGGCACAGAATTTGTATAAAAACTGGTGGAAGAAAGGCCTCCCTGCTCACACTTAAAAGAACATTTTTTTAAAAACCCGAAGAGACATACACACACACGCAACCACACGCGCAAGCATGTAGAGAGAGAGAGAGAGAAAATGACGGAACGGTACCAGTATGTAAATAGTTAGGGCAAATGCAGTGGAGCAAACCTACACAACACCAAGAGGGCTTAACAAGGCCGGGGAAGCCATGTTCTGATGGTTCAAAGAAAACATGACTACCACACATGGAATGCTATATCTCTGCTAAGTTGTAACCACTTCCTTGGGGAATCTGAATATACAATGTAAAAGTTATTGTACATAAGTGTGAGTTAAACGATTCCCCTCCCCCCTTCTTCTATTCTGTACCCCAAAACACGAAAATGTTTAATAAAAAAACGATTAAAAAAAAAAAAAAGAACATTTAAACAACCATAAGCTCTATGGGCTGTGGTTATGGTTTCAGGAGTGCATGCCTCACAACGGTCCCGCTTTAGGGGCGCTCTCCGCCATCGCACTTTAGTTCCCTGGTGTCCCACATTTGCGGACACCAGGGAACTTTCCCCAGGCAGCATGACATGAGCACAACACTAGACCGGCTCACATTGTGAAAAATCAGCACTGTCCCTGTAATTCTGTACTGTTAGGGGGCCTCGAATTGTAAATGTTTTTAGTGCCAGGTAGATATATACAATTTGGTTATTTTGGCCATAAATTTGAGTGTGACTGAATTTTCATAACATTTCTCACAATTCAAAAAAAAGAAGAAAAAAATGTCTACAGGTGATGGCTGTCTAAAAAATAGACTAGTCCACTCAACCTGTAGAAGATCATACCTTGTAAGACACTCCAGTAGTGTCTTGGGGCATAACCCCTAATCAGAAGAACTATAAGATACTCAAAATAACAAATATAAGAGTATTTCCACTGGAATAATGAACAATAATAATACTATAGAAAATAATAAATAGAGATATATACAGTGAGGAAATACAATTGTAGAAAATACTAACAAATGGGTCAGATGGAAGTAGAAAATAAGTGCCAAATGGCAAACCTCCCTTCCTAATGTCTCTAGAGATATACTCATATATTTGTTATTTTGAGTATCTTATAGTTTTTCTCACAATTCACACTTAAGTGAAGAAACCTGCTTGTGTTAGTTGATCCAATGCAGCATGCATACCTCCCAACGTTGCTTTGGCTGCATTCAGGACGGGGTCGAGCCTTGCAAGGGGGCACAGTCAGGGACCCAACTCGTCACTGGTGATGCTCTAAACGGGCGGGTATGCCCAGAAAATAGTTGGTCCATCCACTTAAGAGGTGTGTGTGCCTGACGACAAACACACCAGGCTCTCTCAGACAGCCTCCTGGCCAGGCCTCCGCATGGAAGTCTAGAGGACTATGCAGAAAGCGCTGTTAAATGGCTCTCTGCGTGGTTTTAATGCCTACTGCAAAGCATTAGACGCGCTCAAGGGCAGTTTTTGCACAACAGTCCCGATTTCGGGGTCCTGTCCCTCCATCCTGCTTTAGTTCTCTGGCGTCTCTCATTTCACAGGAATCTCAAGACAAGGTTTCAGCAATACACAGGCACTTATAGCTGTATAGTCATTAATCTTGATGATCTCAGCCAAACCAGTGCTTACCCATAGTGAAGCAGTAGGAGGCTAGTGCGCATGCGCATCAACACATGTTTATGTTCCTAACATTAGAGTGTTTCTTTAAGTACCAAAGTTAGCTATCACTGTTTTGTAAGTGTACTTTCAGAGTGAAATGTTGTGGGTATACTTGTAAGGATGTACTTCAGTAGAGTAATACTTATGTTTGTCAGTGAAAATATAGGAGTCTGTGTCATAATTTCTCTATTTACATTGGTAAACAATGCTTATGTAGTCATATATAAATATGAATAGCTATTTCTAATAGCACAATACTGCTTGTTTGTTGTATCCCTCCCTGATCTTCTACAATGAAGAGATAATGTCACAGTTTGTGACACGGTACAGAAAATGTACAGCATGTTATCTACTGAGCTATCAAGATCGGCAGATAGCGATCCAAGTCAGGACTGTCCCATCATATCCAGGATTGTATGGAGGTACACAAGCGCACTGTTATTTACTAAATTGCAAGCTCATTTGAGCTGGGGCCTCCTTACCTCTTATTTATGTTCCCGTTAACAAGTCTGTACTTTATGTGCTGCTTTATGTCCTCTATCGTTTCAAATTTAAAGGAGCACTATAGGGTCAGGAACATGTATTCCTGACCTGATAGGGTTAAAACCACAATCTAGTCCCCCCTTGACCCCTCCAGCCTCCCTAAATATAGTAAAATCTTACTTGTATGCAAGCCTGAAGCTGCAGGATTTGTCCCTGCTTCCTTTTGACCTGCCCACTGCCTGCTGACATCATCAGAAGTGGTAGCCTGATCCAATCACAATGCTTCCCTAGAGGATTGGCTGAGACTGACAAAGAGGCAGATCAGGGGCAGAGCCAGCACAATTCAAACACAGCCCTGGCCAATCAGCATCTCCTTATAGAGATGAATTGAATCAATGAATCTCTATGAGGAAAGTTCAGTGTCTGCATGCAGAGGGAGGAGATACTGAATGTTTGGATGCATTTTAGGCAGCCATGACCCAGGAAGGATCTCTAACAGCCATCTGAGGAGTGGCCCGTGAAGTTATCACTAAGCTGTAATGTAAACACTGCATTTTCTCTGAAACAAGCAGTGTTTACAGCAAAAAGCCTGAAGGTAATGATTCTACTCACCAGAACAAATTCAATAAGCTGTAGTTGTTCTGGTGACTATAGTGTTCCTTTCAGGTGATATACACAGACAGATTCCATCAAAAACAGAACACTCGAGTGAAACACCAAAAAGCCACATGTTTCTTTCTCAGATACGTTTCTGTTATTGTTGCAAGTAAGCCATAGAAACATTCAAGGGCGTATTGACTCCCCTTCACTCACCTCAGTCACTATCTCCCTCAGCACCCACATTAGCCCTATGCCTCCTCTACCCACCTCAGCTAGCATCTCCCCAGCACCCACCTCAGCCTCCATTCCCACTCAACCCACCTCAGCGACCACCCATTACCCCCAACACCCACTTCAGCCCCATCTCCCCCACCAACCGTCTCCGCCACTATACCCCCAGGCACCTACTACACTCCCTATGCCCCCTGCACCTACTAGAGCCCATATCCCACACGCTGCAGCCACTATCCACACACACAAACTGCAGCCTTTATATCCCTCACACAGTCGAGCCTCTATTATCCATACAAACACAAACTACAGCCCCAGTATCCCCCAGACGCCTACTACAGCCTATCCCACACACACACATACAACAGCCCCTACCACACACACTACAACACAACCAGCCGTCTCCACCCACATACTACACTGCAAACAGATCCATCCACACACGCAAACCTACCAGGAGCCTCACTGTATGCACACAATCCCACAATCAGTATCCCCACACATGCAGCCTCCCTACGAACACTTATCACAAGCAGCTTCCCCACCATTGCAATACTGCATACAGCCTCCTTACACACACACAATTATTACAACCATTTATATAGCACCAACATATTCTGCAGCGCAGTACAATAGGTAAAAGAAGACAAACAATTCTAACACATGTTGACATACAGGAACACAGCATCACAAGTAGCCTACAAACACAGCCATTATGGGTGCTTGTTAACATGCATATAATATCTGTGTGAGAGCCACACAACGAAGGGGGAGAAAATTATCAGTAGCCAAAAAACTTTGCACCAGAAGGGGTCTCTTGGTCTCCCATTTCTGTGAGTTGTCAGTCCGCCCCTGGAAACACTCCTATTAGTGGAATATTTCCAGTGTGGCCTGTTTCTTTTTACATTTTGAACAGATATGCTTTATTAGGTGCACATATTTTTTTGTTTTCTTTATTTTAACATTGTGTGAGTGGGTATGTATTGTGATGACACTTTTTAGTGTACATATATGTGCATAGAAACAGAGGTGTATCTACTGAAGATAGCACCTATGGCAATCACTGAAATTGTGCGTCTGTCCAAATGTGTGTGTTTGTGTGTTGGCTGTATGTAATGTGTGTGGTCGTGCAGATTGGGGGGGTGAGTGTGGCAAGGTGAGTGGCAGTGTGAGAGGGTGTGAGTGTTACAGGATTAGTGTGGCAGGGTGAGAGGGATGGTCAGTGTGACATAGTTAGGGGTGAGTATGATAGTGAGCGTGACAAGGTTGGATGGGATTTTCTATGGTTGGGGGAGAGACAGTATGTGGAGAGGCTGTATTAAAACACACTCTCTCTTATTGCCTTTTTGAAAATATAACATTTGCCCCCATCATGCTTACCTCTTGGGCGGTAAGAGGGCACAGATATATTCACTGGTCCAGTGGGCTCCCTGGTGGTCTAGTGGGCTTCTAGAGCCAGCTTTCCAGTGCAGTGTTGATGCCATTAGAACGCAGGCAAGGAAACCTTCTGGCTCGAGGGGCATCCGATCAGAGCTGGAGCTTCATCCAGCTCTGATATGGCACCCCGTCAAGTGACACCTATGGCATGTACTATGCTTGCCATACCCTAGGTACGCAACTCTATATATATATATATATATATATATATATATATAGATATATATAATACAAAAGAAGACCATACAGAGCACTGAGAGTGTTTATGGTGTCAGGAGTAGTCAAGTGGTCATAAGCATTCAAACCGTTTCTTAGACATTCAGGTGCTAATTCCTGCCTCCTTGCTGCTTGAAATTCATGTTAAGCTGTAACTGGTGTTTAGCATTTAAAAGGTAGTTGAAGCGAGAGTGCAGTCGTGCAATGCTTTTATTTCCATCTCGGTTAGTAGGGCAACATCATTTCAGAAATTATGTAAGTGACAAGAGAGATGGCATCACCATGGTTACAGAATGCAGTCACCATAGTTACCGAATGCATGATGTAAGGATCATTTGGCCCAAACAGCTCATTCACTGTGACCTATATAATGTTAAATTTTCAAGCAGAAGTCTAACTCTCTAGCTAGATTTTAATTCAGGCCATTTTTTTGTTTAAGGGAAAGTTGTTGATCAATTGATTAAACATAATTTTTAATTCAACAACAAGATCATCTTTAAAGGGGAATTCTAAGCAGCCAGGGATATCATACTGAGCACGTGGAATACTCATATGTAGCTATGGATATCATATTGAGCACATGGAATTCTCACATCCAGCCAGGGATATCCTAGTGAGCACATGGAATGCTCACATCCAGCCAGGGATATTATATTGAGCACATGGAATGCTCACATCCACCCAGGTATATCATACTGAGCACAAGGAATGCTCACATCCAGCCAGGGATATCATACTGAGCACATGGAATACTCCCATCCAGCCAGGGATATCATACTGAGCGCTTGGAATGCTCCAATCCAGACAGGGATATCATACTGAGCACATGGAATGCTCACATCCAGCCAGGGATATCATTAGTACAGCACTATCTGCACATTGTTTTGTTTTTTGTTTTTTTTAAAAAGTAATCTGTAAATACAAAATATTTGTGTCAGTAGTTGAGCTTTTTTAATTTTTAGAATAATGATACAGCCATTTTGTTTCATAAATTTGTGCTCATTTCTGTGCTGGTTGGAGGGGGTGATTGGCATTATTACACAATCTGTATATGTATAAAAAAATATATAAAAAGTAATCTGCAAAGTACAAAAAGTTTGTGTCAGAAGTTGTACTAAAAATCAAGCTAGGAATATGCATAGTTTTATTTTATTTTTTTTGATAATCCTTTTTAGAATAATGATGCAGACATTTTATTTCATACATTTGTGCTGATTCAAGGGACACTACAGTCACCAGAACCACAGCAGCTAAATGTAGTAGTTCTGGTGTCTATAGCATGTCTCTGCAGGCTTTTTAATGTTAGCACTGCCTTTTCAGAAAAAAGGCAGTATTTACATTACTGTCGAGGAATACCCCTCACCAGACGGCGACTAGAAGTGCTTCCTAGTCCAGTTTTGCACAACGTGCAGCACTGGCATTCACTCTGAACACTCATAGAAATGCATTGATTCAACGCATCTCTATGAGGAGATGCTGATTGGTGCAGCGCAGTGTTTTGCCAAGCATGCGCAATAGCCTCCCAATGCTTTTCTATGGGAAAGCAGTGGGTTGGCTAATATATACTCACATACTGCACATTCCTGTACATTGTATTCATGAGGTGATCTGTAATACACTCACAAACTGCACGTTCCTGTGAGTTATATTGCTGTAGAGCTTGTGATACACTCACACACTGCACTTTCCTATATATTTTATTGCTGAGGTGATCTGTGATGTACTTGCACATCGCACATTACTGTGAGTTGTATTGCTGTGGAGCTATGCGATACAATGATATGCTTCACATTACATTATTAAAGTTTACTGCTCTACGAGGTGTGTGTGTGTGTGTGTTTTTTTGCTTTGTTTTGTGTGTGTGTTTGGTAAAGGGCGTGATTGCATGCTAGGGAGTGGGAAGGCGGGATCCAGGGGGCCCAAGTAAATTCTTGCCCAGGGTCCAATCAATATTAAAGGACCACTATAGTGCCAGGAAAACATACTCATTTTCCTGGCACTATAGTGCCCTGAGGGTGCCCCCACCCTCAGGGACCCCCTCCCGCCCGGCTCTGGAAAGGGGAAAAGGGGTTAAACTTACCTTTTTCCAGCGCTGGGCGGGGAGCTCTCCTCCTCCGATCCTCCTTCTCTCCTCCCCGTCGGCTGAATGCGCACGCGCGGCAAGAGCTGCGCGCGCATTCAGCTGGTCACATAGGAAAGCATTCATAATGCTTTCCTATGGACGCTGGCGTGCTCTCACTGTGAAAATCACAATGAGAAGCACGCAAGCGCCTCTAGTGGCTGTCAATGAGACAGCCACTAGAGGATTAGGGGGAAGGCTTAACCCATTCATAAACATAGCAGTTTCTCTGAAACTGCTATGTTTATGAAAAAATGGGTAAACCCTAGAAGGACCTGGCACCCAGACCACCTCATTAAGCTGAAGTGGTCTCGATGCCTAGAGTGGTCCTTTAAAGATGGCCCTGAGTCCAGCTGAAAACTAGTAAACCAAAGACTCATATTGCCACCACCACTACAATGAGCTATAATGATTAGAGTGTCTTTTTCATGGCCATTGACCCCACACTAAGGATCTAAATGCCTGCCTTGGTATACAAGAGTGGCAGCCAGACAGAACTTGCAATATTTTTGTTGACCATATTCCTTTTTTTTATTTTTTTCCCTTCTATTTTTCTTTTACAGTCACTTGTCAATTAGCAAGTCCTCATTCACTTATGAATCTATTTAATCTTAAATTTGCATTTGCTTTGAGTAGCCATACTAGCAAATTGTCCTCCATCAAGGTTGCAAATGTTTTTAAATATGCTCAATGTCTTCAATGATTTAGTACCATAACATTCACTCTGTTTCGAGTAGTTAGACAGACTTAGTACAGTCAAGACCTCAAGCCGTCACGAATGCGGCATCAATAACACACCTCTTCAATCTAGAGTCAATTAGTGCAAACCTTGTTTTCTGTGATCAGCACAACTTTGAGATGTACCGCTCACTAGGTAATTTCAAATAACACTTTCCTAGACTGACTTATGGGGGACAGAGTAAAATTGTCTTGTTTTCAATCAACCAATAAACATTCTTTAATTCCACACAATCTGTACAAGCTGTTAAGTCAGGCAACGTGTACCTTTCCCATTTTACCTTTTCCCATATAATTTAACATTTTGTCCTCATCAGGCCAATTTGAGCACTCCACCAGCACCTCCTGATACTCATACCTTTTCATTTATTGTTTTGATTTATTTATTACTGGTATTTACTGGTATTTATTTAGCGCCAACAGATTCTGCAGCGCTGTACAATTAGTGGAGAATGTACAGTATACACCGACAAATACAAGAGATAGAGAGAGCCCTGCCCGTAAGCTGACATCTAGCCATTGAAGCTCTTTTATACAAAGTGCTTAGCCCGTGAGCTTACAATCTAAAGGATACCATGGGGATTTGAGACAAAAGGTAGCAGCTGAAATTTGGAGGTGATGGCCTAAAGAGTTAACAAAGAGAATCAGCTACTGGTAAAATGTAAAGGGAATGAAGAGGTAATTGAGTGAGAAGTCTCTAAGATGGCCGCCATATATAACCCCTATAGGCCCATCCTTCTAAACCCCCCCCCCACCCGCTTATCTGCTTCCTATGCCTGCCCCTAGCTCAGTCAAGCCCCATTCCACCTACTATGCTGTTTCATGGGCTACATTCTTTGTCACTGAGAGCCATTCTCTGGGATGACATGCGCATAGTTGCCTTTACGGCATATCCAGCTTAACCACTTACCCATACCCATTAAAACGCAGACTACAATTTAAAGTTGGAAAATATTTGTCCACAGCTTTATTAAAAACACATTACAAATATAATGTCATTGCCTCCACCAAAACCCGTTACTTAAACATCCTCCACCCCCCCCCCCCACCTGTAATTAACCCAGGCAATGACGTACACATAAACATATAAACCATGATATAACAGTACTTAATTACATAACACATAATACACCAACCGAATGGCATGCTTGTCAATATATGACCAAACGTAGGGGTATACCATGACACCCCTACACCCCCAGGTTTGGAGCCACCAATGAGCTTGAACCTACCCAACCACTGTAACCCCCCTGAGTATTTTCCACTCAACCTAATTAAATTCAATGTACCCTGCCACAGCTCAGGTCTTGACCACCTTAGGCCACCTGCAGGTAAGGTAGGCTGATTAGAAAAGAAGGCAATTTCTAAGATGGCCACCATATAGGCCCAGCCTTCTAACCCCCCTCCCCCATCTGCTTCCTATGCCTGCCCCTAGCTCTGTCAAGGCCCATTCCACCTACTATGCTGTTCCATGGGCTACATTCTTTGTCACTGAGAGCCATTCTCTGGGATGTGATCTTTCAGACATGTACAAATCCCTTCTTGAACACATAGCTCTGACCTACTTATTGGAGAGGATGCGATGCTGGGAGGCTGAGAATAGCACAGCAAGAACAAAATGTGTTTGGATGTAATCCATGAAAATTCTTAGTGTTTAAATAACACATGCACTGTGAATGCAATAAAATGTACTTTAAAATTATTTCTTTGTTTTCAGAAATAAATACATTATTTTGTGGAGAAGAACAAGTAATCTGAAATTTTGGGGCATTTGAGATACAGTACTGTTACTATTTAAGTATATGGTAATTTAACCCCTTTATATGGCAAAATTGCAATGTTTTCAAATTTTCAATTTGATTCCTTTATGTTTTAGAGGGTTCATGTCCCCTTTGGGACAAAATAGTAGCCTCCAACTGAAACATTGCATACCATTTTTAAAAGAAGACAAACTGAGCTATTTCATGTGAAGCATTCTGAGCATTTTCCCTTGGCCATTTCATCACCAATTTCTGCTGACTTTAGCGATCAACTTTAAAGTTTAATATGTATGTGAAAAAAAATCAAAGATCTTTGATTTGTATTCAGCTGCATTTTTCAAGTATATTAGTATCCCACATGTATACCATTGACAAGATTCTGGATTTCAATGGTACCTCACTTATGAGGAGAGCAAAAATACAATGTACAAGAGAATACTGAAAACAGACAACAGCTCAAGTAGCTTGCCTTTCAGTGGGCCCACCTCAGATCTCAAGCTACTTTTAGCTAATTTTGTGGTATTACAGAGAGAACCTATACCATTTGCATATCAGACTGATCCCACCCAAAAGGACAGTCTATATCTGAAATGCAGGTCGTTTTTCTCTGCATGAGAGATACATTAACCCCAGATGATAATTTCGGCCTTCCTAAGCCTCGTCAGTGAGGTATAGCAAATACCCCTCTTGGCTCTGTCAGCGATGGATCCACATCTGGATTACCCTTTAGCCTGGTCCCGTCAATCCTGGTCAGACTGGCTTTCTAAGCCCCCATCACTAAACGTATAACATACAGCAGTACCTTGTGTGATGACTGTTATAAAGGAGATAATTGACCACTCTAGGCACCCAGACCACTTTAGCTTAATGAGAGCTCCCCGCCCAGCGCTGGAAAAAGGTAAGTTTTACCCCTTTAACCCTTTCCGGGCGGGAGGGGATCCCTCAGGGCACTATAGTGCCAGGAAAACGAGTATGTTTTCCTGGCACTATAGTGGGCCTTTAAGGATATGCATAATGCATAACATAAATGTAAAGACATGAAAGTGCAGTACCTGTGTTTGGATTTGTAAGGGCTATTAACAGATTTTTATATTCTTGAACAAAAAGTAAACAACAATAGGCATTATTGTATAAACAAATAGTTTTTCTAAAGCGTGCCTGCAATTTAAATTTACATTGATGCACCTCTAAAGGGCAGCATAATAATGCATATTCTGCAAATTGCTAGAAAATATTAGGACAGATAATTTTATCAAAGGTTTTATGTTTAAGAAGCATGTAAACAATGTTATTTATAAAGAAATTCAGAAGATGCAGTATGAATAATAGATCCATGAGAGCAAATTTTCCAACACTATTTAAATTGTGAAGATAATGGTAAATTCTAATTAGATATACATTAGCCCAAGGCTCTCTTTAATACTAATGGGCTCTGTGCAAATCTCTCCTGATGGGTCTTCTTAAAACATATGTTAGCACAGTTTATATTCATTGTACCAGGGAAAAGCAAACTGTGTACAAACTCTTCCCTAGGGTAAAAAATCAGATTGCAAGCTTTTATTTTTAAATTCCTGGAATTTGTCCAAAAGACCTTGGAATCATTGATGGCTGCTGAAGTAGATGTTGGGAGGGAACACTCAAAGACTCAATAAACTCCACAATTTAAGGATTATTCTGTTTGCCAGACACACACACAGAGGCGTAATTAGAATACACAGGACCCCGGTGTGAAAGGTGCCTTGGGGCCTCCCATGCATCTTCTCCCCCCTCACTTCCCGCCCCTCAATTTGTATAACACATACAGATACATACATGGACACACATGCTAATACACCAACACACAGAATGACACACATTCAGATACACAGAATAACACTTCTACAGATACAAATACTGACAAACATACAGATACGCACATACACAGACACACATACACAGGATGACACTCATACAGATATAAACAGTGACACACATACAGATACATAGGGGCATACACTGGCAAAAATGCAGATACACATGCAGACAAACAGATACACACATACAGACACACATGCAGAAAGACAGATACACATACAGACAAGCAGATACAGATACAGACACACATGCAGATACAGATACACATAGAGACATACAGATACACATATAGACACACATACAGACAAACAGATGCACATACAGATACACATATAGACACGCATGCAGATACACAGACACACTTGATGACAAACATTCAGATACACAGAATGACACACATACAGATATAAACAGTGACAAACATGCAGATACATAGGGGCACACATTGACACACATGCAAACATATACATATACAGACAAACAGATACCCATGCAAACAAAGAGAGACACATACAGACAAGAGATATACACACACACACAGACATACACACACATAGGGCACACATTGACACACAAGCAAACAGAAAACACATACAGACAAACAGATACAAACAGACAAGAGATACACACACATGCAGACACACACACAGACATACACACACACACACAAACTGTTAAAAAATGTAGTCATTCTCCTGTTGCCTCATGCTGATGGGAGTCAGAGCTCCCACTCTGACTCCCTTCTCTCCTCCCCGGCAGTCTTCTCCCGCGCGGCTCTCTGTTAGCAGGGAAGAAGTGACGGCTTCCTCCCAGCTCTGACATCATCACTGGGGCCTGATCGCGCTCTTAAAGCCCCACATCGCTGACCGGGCCCTAGGAAATCCATTGCCATCGGGTGGCCCCAAGAGCAAGGGCCACCCAAGGGTCCCTTCAATGCGACCCCGGCGGATGTTCCATGCGACTGAGGTTACACCACAATGCCAGCGGGCACACAGGTCGCAGGGGTCAACAGGGCTGCCGGGCCCCCTGGAGTGACCACTGCACACACATACAAACCTACACACTTCCCACCAGACATTGTATCAAATTGTAGAGATGCATTTGAAAAAAAATACTTTGCCTATCTATATGGTGATGTACTCACTGTGACAGTTGATAGACAGTTTGAAAGGGAATAATAGTAACAGCCAATGTAACAAGTGTCTAATTCCCTCACACTTATGAGTACAAAGAAAATTAGCTGATGCACTCTTACCTGAGAGTAATGGGAGTTATAGTCCACATCATGTTTAGCTCGGCTTCCTTCTAACCTACCCTAAACGTGTGCAAAAATTACATCTAGTTTATTTAGTATATGGCCTTTTTAAAATATATGTGTTTTATTCCCACCCCTCACAATGTTATTTACTGTGACAGGTTGTGTGTAATATCGATTTGTTTATGGAAAAAAACAAACACAAACAAAAAGGCAGGTTTACTAATTTGGCCGTGTAACGTCAGAAAAGCTTGACCAAGGAATACATGGCATTACTGTGGTTCTTAAGAGCATAATTTTGTTGTGTTTTTTGTTTCACTTGAGTAGCATACCTCATGTTTAAGATATTCACAGCAAACTTTAGTATTTCTCTACAATATATAAATAAATAATAACAGAAACAAGACTTAAAACTCATCATATGAGAGACCTTGGGGTGCCTATTTTTTTAATGGTATGCGTATAAGGAGTAATATGTGAGATACTAAAATGACCAAAAGTAAGACATACCAGCAAATCAATTGGTCAAGATTCCAAATTTGAAATATGAAATGGAAAGGTTCACAAAACCCTAGGAAACTCCACAAAACCCTAGGGAAGCTATATATGGGGATATTGCTTATGGAGATGTAGATTGTTTATTTTGGTTTCTGCCACTGATCAATAACTTAGAGGCCAATCATTCCAAATTCAGAAATCACTAAAGGGGCACTTTAAGCAACATGACTACAACAGCTCTACAACTTTATTATCCTGCTTGCACTTTCTGGCCTGCACTTTAGCCAAACTGTAAAAACTAGTTTCTAAGCATTTATACAAAAAATTATATGCACTGATCAGCCACTACATTAAAGTCATTGACAGGTGAAGTGAATAACATTGATCATATTGTTACAATGGCACCTGTCAAGGGGTGGGATATATAAGGCAGCAATTAAACAATCAATTCTTGAATTGTATGTGTTTGAAGCAGGAAACCTGGCCAAGTGAAAAGATCTGAGTGACATCGACCCAGACAACTGGGTCAGCGCATCTCCACAACAGCAAATCTTACAGTGGATAGTACCTACCAAAAGTGGGGCAAGGAAGGACAACTGGTGAACCGTCATCAGGATTATGTGTGCCCAAGGCTCATTGATACACGTGAGGAGCAAAGGCTAGCCCATCTGGTCTGATCATACAGAAGAGCTACTGAAGGTCAAATTGCTGAAAAAACTTAAAGGGATACTATAGGCACCCAGACCACTTCAGATCATTGAAGTGGTCTTTGTGCATTTCCAGGTCCCTTAAACCTGAAATGTAATTATTTAAGTTTTTATTTACTGCAATAATTACCTTTATGGGTTAACTCCACCTCTAGTGCCTATCTACCATAATTTTGGTCGCTTAACTGACGCTGGACATCCTTACGCTATGCATGAGGACATCCAGCGTCATCCAAAACCCTATAGGAAAGCATTGTGTAATGCTTTCATATGGGGCTTCTCTAATGCGAGCATGGCTATTGCCGCGCAGAAGCGAAGGCAGACCCCGAGCCAGTGCCAAGGGACATCAGCGCAGGAATAAGGTAAGTGACAAAAGGGTTTTTTTAACTCCTTTTGCACCACAGAGGAGGGGGAAGGCACTACAGGGAGCTACAACTTTGTTTTCCTGGCACTATAGTTTCCCTTTAATGCTTAATGCTGGCCATGATAGAAAGGTGTCATAGCCACAGACTGGTCATAATGACCATCTACATCTCCGAAAGTGTCTTCCATAATGGCTATCAACATTTGGCTATTTTTCCACAAATCTATGCTAACATTCGTAGCAATTCAATGGGGATGTGAGCATCAGAACAGGACAATGAAGCAATGGAAGAAGGTTGCCTGGTCTGATGAATCACATTTTCTTTTAGATAAATGGCCGAGTGTGTGTGCATCATTTACCTGGGGAGGAGACTGCAGCAGGATGCAATATGAGAAAAGGGCAGGCTGTCTGAGGCAGTGTTATGCTATGGGCAATGTTTTGCTGGGAAACCTTGGACCCTATAATTCCATGCCTTGACACATTAGAGCTGTTCGGGCAGCACGAGGGGACCAACATGATATTAGGCAGTTGGTTTTAATGTTGTGACTGATCAGTGTAAATAATAAAAAGAAATCCCAAACGACCCTGAACTAAAATGTGTGTTTGCACTAAATGACAAAGAGGGAAATTAATTACATTTCAATTAACAGAGGAAAAATACCAAATGTTTGGTCCTTAAATGCCAAACAAACAAATGTTGGCAGTGTCACTAGGAGGTTAAATTTATTCGGCTATCTAATGAGAACCATAAAATAAGAATGATAACGAACACATGGCAACAGTAGTAACATAGGATAGGATGTGTTTCTTTGTAATAACAAAATATATTTCTACATACTGCCCTGAAGTCAACTAGAGTGTAACTGATTGAGATCCATAACTCTATCCTTATTGGCTAATACCCATGAAAGCCATGGCAACACGTCTATCTTTGCTCTATTGATTGTGTATTCTCCCCTACTATTTCTAATTGCTATCTCCAGCAAAAGTCCCGTGCTTCCTTCCTACTCCAATACAAACTGCATTTATTCTGTACCCAAAGATATGACATGCTCATCTATTTTATTAATCCTACTAATATCTGTGCTTCCGTTAATGATAATAACCACAATCCACCCAACAAAGCACAGCAGATTCTGTGATTCTGCTGTTTTTATTCAATGCTCCTCAAATGTATTCCATTCTAGAACAATAAACAGCTCCTAATATGCCTATGTATTTTAATTCTCCTGCCTTCTGATGCAATGCTGGCCACATACACTTCTACTCTCTGCTGGCTCACAACAAACAGCATTAACACTGCAGACATTAACTCTTTCTCTTCTGATAATATCTGAAGATTAGCAATTAAAGGTAACACTATAGTCACCAGAACAACTACAGCTTATTGAATTTGTTCTGGTGAGTAGAATCATAAGCTTCAGACTTTTTGCTGTAAACACTGTCTTTTCAGAGAAAATGCAGTGTTTACATTACAGCCTAGTGATAACTTCACTGGCCACTCCTTAGATGGCTGTTAGAGATCCTTCCTGGGTCATGGCTGCTTAAAATGCATCCAAACATTCAGTGTCTCCACCCTCTGCATGCAGACACTGAACTTTCCTCATAGAGATTCATTGATTCAATTCATCTCTATGAGGAGATGCTGATTGGCCAGGGCTGTGTTTGAATTGTGCTGGCTCTGCCCTGATCTGCCTCCTTGTCAGTCTCAGCCAATCCTATGGAGAAGCACTGTGACTGGATCAGGCCACCACTTCTGATGATGTCAGCAGGCAGCTTGCTATTCTGAGGCAAACAGCATGCAAAGCTACAGCTTCAGGCTTGAATACAAGTAAGATTTTGCTATATTTAGGGAGACATGAGGAGCCCAGGGGGGCTAGATGGGGGTTTGAACACTATAGGGTCAGGAATACATGTTTGTATTCCTGACCCTATAGTGTTGCTTTAATGTTTTCACTACTTGTAAATGAAACACTGCACAAATTAACAGTGACACCAAAATGTTAAAATACTGCCTCTAAAGGCCAAAGCTATTTATTCACTGAACAGTGAATTTAACTGAATACAAATTTCACAATTCAGGCCAAAATATATAATTTGGAAAAATGTTCCAACTCTGCGCCAATTACAGCTTGGCTATGTTTGCCTGACTTTTGCAGTTTGGATTTTCGTACATGACTGTTCACTGTTTGGGTAATAAACCATATATGGTTTGCTTAATATGGAACTGCTATGAATTGTCAAGGCAATTGAAAAAGTAGCTCAAAATTGTGGAACTGCCATATTCAAGAATTTGCCTGACGTCTATTTTTCCCTAACGTTTTCAATTACCTTGTCAGTTCACTGTCACACATAAATTCCAATTCATTTGCGATACAACTGCCAGAGCACTGAAAGATTGTACAAAAACCTGCAGAACCTTTTTTTTTTTTTTAATGTATAGGTCAGGGATAGGCAACCTTCGGCGCTGTAGATGTTTTGGGCTACACCTCCCACGATGCTTTGCCAGCATTATGGCTGTAAGAGCATTATGGGGGATGTAGTCCACAGGATCTGGAGTGCCAAATGTTGTCTACCCCTGGTATAGGTGTATTAAAGTTTTCCAAAATATAACAAGCCAGAAAAAAAAAACATTTTGCAATACATGCAATTACATTTTGGCACAAGAACATAGAATTTGTTGCGAGTGCCTTTAGTTAATATCTTTGGAAAAGCTTTTCAAATGATTAAATATATTCTGATTAACTTTGATACTGATCTTTTTAAAATATATATAAATAAATAAATAAATTAAATATATATATATATATATATATATATATATATATAATGATCAATATACCCAAACATATCTGAAAATGTCAAAATCTTAAATCATTTTAAAACTTTATTCAAAAATATAAAATTATTTGAAAGCTAATCCAAAAATATTAAAGGGACACTATAGTCACAAAACAGCTTACTAAAGCAGTTCTAGTTTATAGATCATGCTCCTGCAATCTCACCACTCAATTATCTGCTATTTCGGACTTAAATCACTTTGTTTATGCAGCCCAAGTCACACCTCCCTGCATATGACTTGCACAGCCTTCCTAACACTACCTGTAAAGAGTCATCTAATATTTATACTTCCTTTATTGCAAATTTTGTTTAAAGTAGAAGTTCTTATCTCCTGCTCTGTTAAAAGCTTGCTAGACCCTGTATGTGATTAAAGGTCAATTTAGAGAGCAGGAGATACAAAAATTTAAAGTAAGTTACTGATTAAAAGTGAAACCTTTTTTCTTGCAGACTGTGTAAATCACAGCCAGAGGAGGTGTGGTTAGGGCTGCATAAACAGAAACAAAAGTGATTTAACTCCTAAATAGACTAGATTTGAAAAGTGAGACTTCAGAGGCATGATCAGTACACCTAAACTGCTTCATTAAGCTAAAGTTGTTTTGGTGACTATAGTGTCCCTTTAACTCCTTAAGGACCAAACTTCAGGAAAAAAAGGGAATCATGACATGTCACACATGTCAAGTGTCCTTAAGGGGTTAATTTAGTTGTTCTGGAGTCTACTGCCTGCCCCTGCAGGCTTTTTAATTTAAACACTACCTTTTCAGAGAAAAAGCAATGTTTACATTACTGCCTAGGAACACTTCTAGTGGCAGTAACTCAGACGGCCACTAGAGGAGCTTCCTTGGTCCGTGCTGCATGGAGACTGAATGTTCCTCATAGAGATGCAGTAATTCAATGCATGCACAATAAGCTACACAAAGTGATTGCATGCAAGTTACATTGCAATGTGTTGCAAATGTTTAAAGGACCACTCTAGGCACCCAGACCACTTCAGCTTAATGAAGTGGTCTGGGTGCCAGGTCCTTCTAGGGTTAACCCATTTTTTCATAATTATAGCAGTTTCAGAGAAACTGCTATAATTATGAATGGGTTAAGCCTTCCCCCTAATCCTCTAGTGGCTGTCTCATTGACAGCCACTAGAGGCGCTTGCGTGCTTCTCACTGTGAAAATCACAGTGAGAGCACGCCAGCGTCCATAGGAAAGCATTGTAAATGCTTTCCTATGCGACCGGCTGAATGCACGTGCAGCTCTTGCCGTGCGGGCGCATTCAGCCGACGGGGAGGATCGGCGGAGGAGGAGAGGAAGCAGAGAGCTCCACGCCCAGCGCTGGAAAAAGGTAAGTTTACCCCCTTTCTCCCTTCCAGAGCCGGGCGGGAGGGGGTCCCTGAGGGTGGGGGCACCCTCAGGGCACTATAGTGCCAGGAAAACGAGTATGTTTTCCTGGCACTATAGTGGTCCTTTAAAGGACCACTATAGTGCCAGGACAACATACTCGTTTTCCTGGCACTACAGTGCCCTGAGGGTGTCCCCACCCTCAGGGTCCCCCTCCGGCCGGGCTGGATGGAGAGGAATTGGTTAAACTTACCTCTTTCTCCAGCCGGGAAGGAGCTCTCCTTCTCCTCTCCTCCTTCTTCTCCTCCTCTTCCTCCTTGATTTTCACAGTGAGAAACGCGGAAGCCCTCTAGCGGCTGTCAATGAGACAGCCACTAGAAACTGGATTAACCCTAACATAAACATAGCAGTTTCTCTAGATGGACCAGGCACCCAGACCACCTCATTAAGCTGAAGTGGTCTGGGTGCCTAGAGTGGTCCTTTAACTAAACTTCCGACACGTACTTGATGGTCAACTTCAAACAATCCTCCACCTGGTTTCAGAATTTGCAACAACACATTCAGAACTATGGGTCACTAATGAATGCATACACCACGCAAGCACTTAAAAAGTTCAACCATCATACATACCGGTACCTTCCTTATTTTGTGAATGTGGGAGGTTCACTTTAAAGCTCAACCACTAATATAAGCAAACTGATAAATATAAATTTACCAACAAATAGCAACATTCTGAGGTAATATGTTGAGAAAATGTACACATGCGTTTGTTAATTTCCAACAATAGCTATTCTCATTGAAGAGCTTATCCTTTAAAAAAAACACTCAAGGTGACAAAGCCATTTCAAAGTTTATTTAACCACACCTATGGCATAAACAGCCTGCATCCAAGTCTCCTCTTCACTAACTCCTGTCACTAGAGGCCTATAATGCCATTGATAGCTGTGCCTAGGGCTGCATAATCATTCATTAAAAAAAAAAAAAAAAAACTCTAGTCATTTTATAGCTTGTATTGAATTATTATTGGCCCTGAGTTACATTTTTACTGTATAGGCGGTTCAATAAAGACCTGCAGTGCTTATTGTGTTTTGCAGATTACATTCACACTGAACTAGGCTTTAGAATACTGCAGAGCATATTGTATATCCAAACTTGTAAACAACACAGCAACACACCATATATAGAAGGCCTTTAATATAATAATTCACATTTTAACAGCAGGCCATCACCAAGGCTCGTTAGATTCGTTCGGATTCATTGCAGAATGTCAGGTTTTTTTGTATCCCAAGCTTTCTATGTATAGAACGTCTCCCTGCGTCACCTGATTTCGAATAAATAGGTCACAGATATGTTACTGCATGAATCATCACAACCAGCTGAACAAAGTCAGATCTTGGCGACTGATTCAAAGCTAACAGTGTGTGTGTGACTGTGAGTGTAAGTGGTCTAGTTTTTATTTCTAGTTAATATCAGGGGTAAGTGTTGTGGTTTAAATATGCTTTTTAATCCTGTATCACAAAGTGATGCTTTGTCAGGTCCTATGGGCAATAAATTGCAAAATGTGTCTGCATTTTAGCTCCAGGTAGAAGGTCATACAGTAATATCAACATTAATATGACTATATATGAATATATGAAATACAGTAAAACGGTGTGTGTGTGTGTCAGTATATTCAGTTGTCATTTTGCAAGCTAATACAATTATCAAATTGTAACCATTTTATAGTGAAGCCTGCATTGTTTTGAAACCATATATCAAGCCCTGCAATTCACTGGTTTAACACACTTACACTTTCTTGCATAAAATGATAAAAACACAGCATGTAAAAGAATTCATAGGTCTGCTATGCAATATAATGCTTCTGAATAATAGTAAGAGATCAGCTGTCAGAATATTTCACAGTCAATAAAAACATTTTGCATATTTTTTTATTTATTAAGAATAAATGACCTGGGAGATTATTTCTCTCCTATCTAAGAATAAAAGGTTATGCAATGCACTGGAATTCGACCAACACATTCAGCAGCATGTAATAGAATAGGTGAAGGCTTACCTCATTTATTTGCAAGAAGGTTCAGAATTTAGGAATTCGTTGGGAAGGATTTGTTTGCAGACACAGATCTAGGTGGGAGATGGATGAAGAGAGAAAATCCTGCAGTGCAAATCTGCTTCTGTGGCTAATTCTCTTATCCTGCACCCAGTTCCTTGGTCTACATGCACACTGTGCTACATGAGGAATGCATAGGGCTACTTTTTCACTGTCTGGCTACCTGCTCGGTGTTTTCCATCCCAGCCACCCTGTACCCCCAAACATCTAAGCCTCCCCCTGATCCCTTACATTCTGTTGCCATACAGAATTCCACTGAATCCCTCCCTGAAGGTGTGTACAGGATAGGACAGAAGGAACAGAGCTCCTATCAGCATCCATTGCAGGCAGCTGGTATCAGCCAATGGGGGAGAGCAAATAGAGAGAGTAACTTAGTAACCGTGCTGCTCTCTGTCTGTTCTATAGTATGTGACAGGTAACCCTTTCTCTGCCTGGGAGATGGGAAATTGACCAGTGATACTGGAAGCTGAAACAGACCTCTGGCATGTGCTGTTACATTGGATGGTGTCATTATAGTTGTGTACAGTAGGAAGAGATGTCTTGTAACTGGGCAGAAAGAAAAATGTGTGTTATGGTAGTTTAAATGTAGAATGGAGAGAGAGAGAGACAGACAGACAGATTTTTATTCATTATTAGTGAAGATTAACTATTACTATACCATTATCGGTTATGCTTTAAACATGTAAATGTCAAGAATTGATCTGGGTATGTTTTAAGAAAACCTCAATAGTGTTATTTATGAAATGTAGCAAATTTAATCCATATTGTAAATTTCATGCTAAAATAGTCAAGCTCTGAATACTACTGAATAAGACAATCTTTCCAGACCACCTGTTAAAGGCAGCACTTTGCCATTCAGATTTCATTAGCTAAAAATTAAAAGTTTCGTGAATAACCCTGTATGTATCTTGAGTTGGATATTTTTTTCAAACACCCCTTCCCCTTTACAAACCCCTGCCCGTTTTACAAACCCCCTGCCCCCTATAGTAGACCCTTCTGCACCCTTTAAACTTTCCCTTTTACAACCCCCTCACTTTACAAACCTCCTGCCAACCTTTTCACAATCCCCCCTTCTCTTTTTACAAACCCCTGTCCCCTTCTACAAACTCCTGCCATGCCCTTCCTTCTACAAAACCCTTGCCACCCCTTCTAAAAAAAAAAAAAACTGCCCCCTTTTACAAAAACCCCTGCCCTCCCCTTTACAAACTCCTTTCCTCCCCTATAACAGACCCATCTGCCCCCCTGTTAAACTCTCTCTCTCTTTTATAACCCCCTCCCTTTACAAAGACCCCTGCCAACCCTTTTAGAATCCACCCTCCCTTTACAAACTACTGCCCCCTCCCCTTTTACAAACCCCCTGTACCCCCTGAAGGTGTGTACAGGATAGGACAGAGGGAACAGAGCTCCTATCAGCATCCATTGCAGGCAGCTGGTATCAGCCAATGAGGGAGAGCAAATAGAGAGAGTAACTTAGTAACCGTGCTGCTCTCTGTCTGTTCTATAGTGACAGGTAACCCTTTCTCTGCCTGGGAGATGGGAAATGGACCAGTGATACTGGAAGCTGAAACAGACCTCTGGCATGTGCTGTTACATTGGATGGTGTCATTATAGTTGTGTACAGTAGGGAGAGATGTCTTGTAACTAGGCAGAAAGGAAACAGGTGTTATGGTAGTTTAAATGTAGAATGGAGACAGAGAGAGACAGACAGACAGACGGACAGATTTTTATTTATTATTTGTGAAGATTAACTATTACTGTGCCATTATGGGTTATGCTTTAAACATGTAAATGTCAAGAATTGATCTGGCTATGTTTTAAGAAAATCTCAATAGTGTTATTTATGAAATATAGCAAATTTAATCCATATTGTAAATTTTCATGCTAAAATAGTCAAGCTCTGAATACTACTGAATTAGACAATCTTTCCAGACCACCGGTTAAAGGCAGCACTTTGCCATTCAGATTTCATTAGCTAAAAATTAAAAGTTTCGTGAATAACCCTGTATGTATCTTGAGTTGGATATTTTTTTAAAACTCCCCTTCCCCTTTAAAAAACCCTGCCCGTTTTACAAACCCCCTGCCCCCCTATAATAGACCCTTCTGCACCCTTTTAAACTTTCCCTCTTTTACAACCCCCCTCACTTTACAAACCTCCCGCCAACTTTTTCACAATCCCCCCTTCCCTTTTTACAAACCCCTGTCCCCCTTCTACAAACTCCTGCCACACCCTTCCTTCTAAAAAACCCTTGCCACCCCTTCTAAAAAAAACTGCCCCCCTTTACAAAAAACCCTGCCCTCCCCTTTACAAACTCCTTTCCTCGACCTATAACAGACCCACCTGCCCCCCTGTTAAACTCTCTTTCTTTTATAACCCCCCTCCCTTTACAAAGACCCCTGACAACCCTTTTACAATCCACCCTCCCTTTACAAACTACTGCCCCCTCCCCTTTTACAAACCCCCTGTACCCCCTGAAGGTGTGTACAGGATAGGACAGAGGGAACAGAGCTCCTATCAGCATCCATTGCAGGCAGCTGCTGGTATCAGCCAATGGGGGAGAGCAAATAGAGTGAGTAACTTAGTAACCGTGCTGCTCTCTGTCTGTTCTATAGTATGTGACAGGTAACCCTTTCTCTGCCTGGGAGATGGGAAATGGACCAGTGATACTGGAAGCTGAAACAGACCTCTTGCATGTGCTGTTACGTTGGATGGTGTAATTATAGTTGTGTACAGTAGGAAGAGATGTCTTGTAACTGGGCAGAAAGGAAATGTGTGTTATGGTAGTTTAAATGTAGAATGGAGAGAGAGAGAGACAGAGAGACAGACAGATTTTTATTTATTATTAGTGAAGATTAACTATTACTATACCATTATGGGTTATGCTTTAAACATGTAAATGTCAAGAATTGATCTGGGTATATTTTAAGAAAACCTCAACAGTTTTATGTATGAAATATAGCAAATTTAATCCATATAGTAAATTTCATGCTAAAATAGTCAAGCTCTGAATACTACTTAATTAGACAATCTTTCCAGACCACCGGTTAAAGGCAGCACTTTGCCATTCAGATTTCATTAGCTAAAAAATAAAAGTTTGTGAATAACCCTGTATGTATCTTGAGTTGGATATTTTGTTTAAGGTTTGTACCAGGGGTCAAGTCCTGCAGAAAAAAGTTTGGGAACACCCCCCCACTGTCCACAGAATATTTTGCCAGTACTGCTGTGGAACATCCAGGTGCTCTTGTGCAAACTGTAAACGTGCAGCAATGTTTTGTTTGGACAGCAGTGGCTTCCTCTGTGGTATCCTCCCATGAAATCCATTCTTGTTTAGTGTTTTACGTATTGTAGATTCGCTAACAGGGATGTTAGCATTTTCCAGTGACTTTTGTAAGTCTTTAGCTGACACTCTAGGATTCTTCTTCACCTCACTGAGCAGTCTGCGTGTGCTCTTGCAGTCATCTTTACAGGACGTCCACTCCTATGGAGAGTAGCAGCAGTGCTGAACTTTCTCCATTTATAGACAATTTGTCTTACCGTGGACTGATGAACAGCAAGGCTTTTGGAGATACTTTTATAACCCTTTCCAGCTTTATGCAAGTCAACAATTCTTAATCGTAGGTCTTCTGAGAGCTCTTTTGTGCGAGGCATCATTCACATCAGGCAATGCTTCTTGTGAAAAGCAAACCCAGAACTGGTGTGTGTTTTTTATAGGGCAGGGCAGCTGTAACCAACACCTCCAATCTCATCTCATTGATTGGACTCCAGTTGGCTGACATCTCACTCCAATTAGCTCTTGGAGATGTCATTAGTCTAGGGGTTCACATACTTTTTCCACCTGCACTGTGAATGTTTACATGGTGTGTTCAATAAAAACATGGCAACATTTCATTCTTTGTGTGTTATTAGTTTAAGCAGACTGTGATTGTCTATTGTTGTGACTTAGATGATGATCAGATCACATTTTATGACCAATTTGTGCAGAAATCCATATCATTCCAAAGGGTTCACATACTTTTTCTTGCAGCTGTATATATGTATATATTTTTTAAAATTATTTTTATATAGGTATTTTTTATATAGGTATATATATAGTGATATATACGTATATACTTATGTATATAGATATATATATATTATTTTGTTCTACATTTTTATATCAATATATATATATATTTATGTTAAAATACAGTTAGAACGAATTTACACATATATATATTTTTTATTTATTTTTTTAAATTTTTTAAATTTTTTTATATTATATATAAATATATATATATATTATGATAATTATATATCTATTTAATCAATATCATTCTACGTGTAAACACGCCCCCTCTCAAAGTGAGTATGTTGGTTCTCACATCTTATTTTTTTTTTCAGTTCACTACAATTGGATATTTAATTAATAAACCCCCAAAACTTACAGAAGAAATCTATGTCATGCATCATTGCGATCAAATACTGGATATTATTAATATAAATGCATGACTGAACACATACCAGCCATTTAGCAATTCATACAAAACTTCAAAGCTATTGCACATGGTTTACATGCCAAATATATAAGTATCTCATGAAAATTATATCTTTCTGGAAAAAAATACAGCCATATTATATCCCAGAAACATACATATGAAAGCATATATGATTAAATTTGAGAGAAAAAAAATATTTTTCACAGCTCAAATCTCAAAAATTACCAAAACAATCATTTGTAGTGGCAGATTGTCAACATACAAAACATGCCAAAACTTGCCAAGCTCTACCATTTATTTTAAAAGCACTTCCAGCAACTACAAACAGCAGAAATATATTAACTTGTTGGCAGGTGTCAAAAGAGAGATGAACTGAATTAAATATTTATAAAGCAAGATAGGCCCAAGTATTCTTGGTGCCTGAGGCATATTAGCTTATTTATTGTCATAATTAAAATCCCTGCATTTTACATAATTGGGCTCAACAATTTCCTGGCATCCTAACCAATTTGCTACCTGAGTGTATCCCTCGTGGTTAACAGTATTAACCAATTAATAGGCACATCTTCTGAACTGTATTTTTTTTTTTAAGGATTATTAAAAGCAGGCCTGCCTTGTATATATATATATATTTTTTTTTTATCAGTATTTTTTTTTATATATATTTTTTTCAATTATTGACAATTTGGTCAAGTATATTCTGACATCATATCTACAAGTTGCTTCATAACAGTTTGATATTAATATAGCAAAATTAAATACGTTATTCCAGTGTATTCCAGCATATATCCAAATTTATATAACATCTATACAGGAATAACTAAGAATACACCATAGTACTAAAATAAACTGCACCCTAAAGGTACACCCGTCACAAGAGCATACAATATATATACAACAAGTAAAACAGATAGATCGTTGAGATATCCAGAGAGAACAGGGAAAACGCTCAATTCCAGCGATACTTCTTAAGCAAGATTAAATCAGCACGGAGCCACTTAGGAGTAAGATTTATCAATACACTACAAAGTAGATGTGGCTATGCCAGGATAATGCTGACTTGGAGGAATTAACTCTATCATTTGTAATAATCAGACCAATTTTCCCATATCTTATTATAGGTATCCATGTTGCTGTCCTTAAAATAAACAATCTTTTCAATTATACTCTGATAATTGATTTGGTAGGTTTCATAGATTTGCCTTGTAAATTTTAAACACGGCAATGCCCTTATCTACTAATGTCCTATTTGGGGACGTATTGCGGAACTAGTACTTTAAGTGGCTGGTTCTATTGCTAATGACCTAATTCTGTCAAGCAATGTTCTACTGCTGTAAATGAAATATAAATAATAATAACTCACTTACTTGTGTATTTGGGTCTTCTTGTATGTCCCAGTGACATCTGATTTGATTTTATATCATTTGTACATCTGGTGTCTGAATGGATAATTTACAAGGACATCCTCTGAATGCCATACTTTGTTTTCGACACCCTGTTATTAATTGATGCTGTAATTAGTCAGAAATGTACTGGCATGTTCTAACCATAGAGAAGTCCGGAAAGGATTACAAATGCTTTTGTTTATGTAACAGAGTATAAAAACTTATTTGGAGACGTTAACCCATTAATTAAAGGAAAAAGGCAAACCAGAATGTATCCAGCATTTTCCAAATGTAAGGCTACAGTGGATTAATAAAAGAATAAACACAACAGAATCAGGGCATACTTTATGCAGCCTACAAATCTTAAGACACTGTATAAAATACCTATATTTAGATGTAATATGTGCGGATTTAATCACTTCTACTGGGAAATATTTACAACAAAAATCAAAATCAAAAGATTCTTAATTTATTTATTTACATAAGTGCTTTATTTAAAGGGACACTGAAGGGACTATAAATTAACTGTGTTATCTCATTTAAGTGGTTATAGTGCCTAGAGTTCCTTGGCACGGTCTTTCATTCAGTATTAAACTGTTTTTGAATGGTTTAACATGAATTGGTATGATTAAGGAAGAATGCTTTAGCCATATTTCCAGTGGGGGCCATTCTGTGGGCGGTGATGAACTCTCATTAAGTGTGAAAGCAGCTCGGTTACAGTTTTGGGTCTTTGCATAATTTGCAAAGACCCCCTATGGTGATCTACCCCAGGGTGTCCTAGGAATGGGGGAGCAGGGAAATGTGAGATTTACTTACTTCAACCTGTCCCTCGCAGGAAGTCGCTATCCTCATCTGCCGGCATTCTCTTTGCCCCCTGTTGCTTTTGCTACCAGTATCTAAGGTCAGTATATGAGCACGAGTACAGAACTGAGGTCTATTGAGGATCCCGCAACAGGGCTGGACTGGGAATTTTTTTTAGCTGGGGCAGTTAAAAGCAAAGCAACCCACTAGAAGGGGCAGGATCAAAAGGGTTATGTTATCAATAATGACAAGAATCCCCCCTTACCCCCCCAAAAAAAATAAGTATATTAGTGGTATGCTCCTCAAGAGCATCCACAGAGTCTTGCTAAAGTGCTCTCGGATGGAGAGCATGTCCTGTTTTTGTTTCTTCACAATGCAAGCAAATGCAATTACATGAATGCACTGCTATTGCTAGTCTGATGTACCCAATAGTGGGAGCGCTGCCTGACTCTTTTCCCAGTAACCTAATCTTCCAACCAGCCTATGAAGGTACAGAGCTCTTTCTCCTTTGATCTCAGCTCCGTCAGCCTCTGTCCATGGCCATGTTGGCTCACCTGGTATTTGCCCGGTTTGCCTGATGGCTGGTCTGGGCATGCTCCATAGAGATAGCTTTTATTTCCCTACAATGACAAGAAATTACAAGCTTGACAAAAGGTAACTCTACCGAAAACGGGACACTCAGTGTACTGCAAAATATATACATATTATTAATATTATCTATATATTTTGCAATTTGCAAAGATTTATATTCCCGCTATTTGTATCTCACGTGGAGTGAGATCTATGCCAATATTTTGCTTAAAGTGACACTCCAAATGAGCAAAAAAAAATCACTGTTTAGTAAATATACCCCCAATGAATACATGCTTGAAAAGGCTGCAGATCTTATGAACTTTACAAGCCCCCCCTTTTTTTTCCTAAAATAAACTTTTAGTTTTCTTGAGACGCCTCCGAATTGGTGCCCTCATGCACCATTGCTTCAGCTTGTGCATGCGCACACATCTGGTCTAAGGACAGGAGGAAGTAGGTGAGCTGATCTGAGGTCTGTGGGGCAGAAGGCGTGTGCTCTCAAGTAGAGCATGCCTGCCATTTACTTTAGCTCAGGGGATCAAACGGATGGAGAAAGCAAACCATAGTTAATCTATAAAAGAAATTGAAATCAGTACTTTTATAAACTTTACTTTTGGGGTGTGGAGTGGTTCTTTAAGCAAAGTTCCATTTCAGTTGCTTTCAATCCATCAGTCACAAGAATACCACGAAAGGGCAAACTGCAGACATCATAGACAGAGGAGAACAAAATGGATGCGCACAGGTGTTGAGATCCGCCCCAAAGAAGAAAAGATACTAAATATAAATAAAAACAAGGTGTGAGTATAATCATTAAAATACAGATGGCACAAGGAAAAATTAACAAGAAAAAAACAAACACGGCAGTGCCACTTTAAGGAAATCATTGAGCCTGTTAATTTGCCATGTGTTGCTACACAGCTTAAAGGACCACTATAGTGCCAGAAAAACATATTCATTTTCCTGGCACTATAGTGCCCTGAGGGTGTCTCCACCCTCAGGGCCCCCCTCCCACCGGGCTCTAGGGGGTGGAAGGGGTTAAATTTACCTCTTTCTGCAGCGCAGGGTGGGGAACTCTCCTCCTCCTCGGCTGAATGCACATGCGCGGCATGAGCCGCACGCGCATTCAGCCAGTCCATAGGAAAGCATTCGTAATGCTTTCCTATGGACGCTGGCGTCTTCTCACTGTGAAAACCACAGTGAGAAGTGCGAAAGCGCCTCTAGCGGCTGTCAATGAGACAGCCACTAGAGGCTGAATTAACCCATAGGTAAACATAGCAGTTTCTCTGAAACTGCTATGTTTATAGAAAAAAGGGTTAATCCTAGCTGGACCTGGCACCCAGACCACTTCATTAAGCTGAAGTGGTCTGGGTGCCTATAGTGGTCCTTTGACCCCTTAACGACACATGACATGTGTGACATGTCATGATTCCCTTTTATTCCAGAAGATTGGTCCTTAAGGGGTTAAAGACAGACACAAACTGTCCCTAGGAAGCTGAGCACTGCTGATCTCACCACAAAGTATTCATCTCAGCAGCATATGAATAAAATATAATATTAATTATTCTCCTCTGTGATTACATCACACGTAGCTTTGTGAAAATGCCCACATCATCAGATTCTCCTTGCTGTTTTATTACTATATGTGCTTTTTGTGTTGTCTAATTAATTATTGAGCAGTGATAAGTATGCTAAAGTCCCTATGGATATGTGTGTTTTATGATATGATTAGTTTGGATTTACATCACTCTAAAGATGGTCTTTTTTTTAAACCCATAGAAAAGGTACTAGTATAGATCTGAGGACTTGATGAATGAGGAAAGGACGGGAAAGGGAAAGAAAGGAAGGGAAGGGAAAAGAAAAGGAAGGGAAGGGAAAGAAAGGGAAAGGAAAAGGAAGGGACAGGAAAAGGAAGGAAAGAAAGAAAGAAAGAAAGAAAGAAAGAAAGAAAGAAAGAAAAATAAAAAATTTGGCAACTCAATGAACCAACCTCAAAGCAATTTATATTATATAAGACATTTTGGGAGATGAGTTTTGTCAAGATTATTTTGGGCTATAAATTCCACCTTCACCACTTCGAAGCAACTGTAGATGTAGATTTCTGTTTTCATTAAAGAGGTTAACTAGCATTGTCAAGTTCTGTGATTTTTCTTTTTATATTTTTTTCTATCATAGCATAGCCATACTAAGACCAAAAGACAACCCTCACTTCTTGAGCACGAGATTTATTTCCCTAGTTGGGGGGTTGAAAAAGAAGGAAATACTGGACAAAGTCATTCCTAAATGGATAAAAGGAAATATGAAATACGAGTATAGTTTGTATTTAAGACTAATTGTAACACCCATAAATAACAAATGCTATTTTTTCAAATCTACACATTGTGCCAGCAGATTTTAGGTCTTTCTCACACCTGTCAATCAATTCTTCAGCATAGACTCTGACTGACATGAAGAGAAGAGACCTTTAACCGGTGTTCCTTCTGCTCTCCCAAGCAAAGCTATCATAACTTCATAGCTGACGCTGCCTGTGTCGGCTAGGGAGAATAGGAAACAAATGACTATTATCACTCCATTCAGGTACTGGCATTTTGGCAACATAGGAGGTTTGCCATGCTTGGGGAAGCATCCCAAAGGATCCCAGGACAAATCAATGAAGACTGTGGCAGTGTGAGGGTGGATGGGAAGTAGATGTTACAGAAGTGTAACACCCACCTCTGTAAGGACAATGTGTCAGTGGATCTCAGGGTAAGGTAAGTGGGTGACATATATAGCTTTTATGTAGTGAATTGCAGTTAGTTTGTAACTAAGCTTCAAATTTTGAGTCATAAGGGTGTGACAAGTGTGACATTTTTCCAAATTGACTATTATTTTTTAAAATGTTGTCACTTGGATAATAATTTACCACAGATTTTCTGTTTATTGAATATATACCTTTTGTTAATGACAGGAGAATTATACAAGATAATGACAGGAGAGTTATAACATGAGTTTAAGTGGAATAACTGTATGAGTGGAGATAGGAAGATACAGGAGTGGATACTGGATAAGAGATTATGACATTTCCTTTTAGATCGAAATCGAAATATGTATTGATTGTGAAGACTTCTTTTATTTTGATTATAAAAAAGGCCAAAAAACCTCTTGATCATTGATGCTTCGGTATGAAATCATAGAGATATCATTCTGTGATGTCATAAGGATAAATGCTGCAATAACTGCTTGAACATTCTATTACATCCCAGACATATCTAAGGCTGTGAGCTCCACTACACATAAATCTTCAATGTGTATAGATTGCTAACTCACCTGCATGTGCAAAGCAATTGCTGCCCAGTCGTTACATATGTCTCATCCTGTGGGGATTGGGCCAGTGATATAACAGGAAGGGGGACATTAGAATTAATCAATGGGGGTGGATAGCTCACTGTCCACCACATGCCCCAGTCCATGGTGAATGAGTGTGAGCTATTATAAAATAAGGGTGGGACACCTAGTATCCTCCCCCCAGCTCATAGTGATGGGCAGCACTGGATGGGGGTTCTAATTATAATATTATGGGGGGAAGACCTAGTGTTTCCCTCCAGCCCCAACCCATGGGTGGTTGGGGCTCTTAAAAATTAAACAATGGGGGTGGACAATTGGGCACTTGATAAAGCCCCAGAAGGTAAAATGTGTTGTGGATTTTAAAGTGTTTTTTTTTTTACTAGAGTATTGTTTGGCTACCTCTATTTTGAGTTTTTGCCACATACTTTTTAGTCATTTTACCTTTTTAGTTTGTTTTTTACCTGGCATCCTGTTCCTATCATTGGTGACATTGGCAGACACCCATTATAGCATCCAAGGTGGGGATTTTACCACCTACTCCTCATACACAGAGCATTTGTGTCTGCTCTCCAGAATGTAAGTTTTCAACCATTTCCTTTATATCTACATAATACAGAGAACACTATTGTCGTTTTTCCTCTTTTTATGTGGTGTATCATATTACCATTTTGTTGTGAGACAACATCAAGGAGGTATCCTATAAGTGGGAATTTATACCACTGTATGCTGTTTTATCTGGAGCTGATTTAAGCTCCACTACACGTGAGTTGCCATCTTACATATTGTGTGCACCTCACTGTACTGGCATATTGCACTATTGGCTTCTTTCTTGTTCTCTTTTACATGTTGCCAAAAAAACAAAGCCTTTACCAAAACCACTGCATGAAAATTTGAGACTTTAGAGAATACTGTTTTGGGACTGTTTTCATATCTGAACCCTATGTTTTTGTCCATGTTATGAAATTACCTGGTTTTATTTATCTTTTATCTGATTGAAAGTGTTTATTTTTTTACCTACTTTAGTTTTATTTAATTTTTTTGGCTTGTCCTGTTTTTTGCTCTTTCTGGCAGCATCATTAGTACGTCATTAGCCAGACCAAAACATGGATTCCGGGTTGCCTAATGTCAATTCTGTGCATAGAGAATCATTCACTGACTTAGAGCTGTCAGCAGACGTACTCAGCCAATGAATGGCCAGTGGCAAGGTTCAAAATTGTATGTGCTATGCTACTAATCAATTAATTGCCACTGCAAGCCATTGTGAATTTTTACTCACCAGGGCTAAATTTTCACTCAGAAATGGCAAGTGGAAATTTTGAGCCGTGACTGGCAGGATCAGCATCCAGCATCTGCAATTCGGCAGAAGCCAATTTAACGTCACCCAGAGAACGGGGTCAGAGTACTCACATCATAAGCACTATAGCAGGTTATGTGTTACAGTGTTTATGATGCTTTCAGTAAACGTTTAATTCAATTCAGTTTACTATTTAGGGAATAAAGTCCCAGATGTTGCAACTGGTTTCCATTTACACGCACAATCTGGACTAAATCACCACTTTTGAAAAAAGAGTTTAATAAATTATTTAAAGGGACACTTTGCCCCAAAAACAACTCCATCTCAGTAAAGCTGTTAAGGGAGCAGGAGTCCCTTGGCACCCTTTTACGTCACACTGTTAAGCTGTTTTCAAACTGTTTAACCCTGTCTGAAGATGTGTCCCGGTGCCTATCCACATTGTTTCCTCTCTTTTTCTCAAGCTGCCATACTGATAAGGATCCATTGGTTTGAGCGTCAATTGGCAGCTGATGCTCTCAGCCGGTCCTCAGCACTGCTAATCCTTTTTTAGAAGTACGGTGGCTGCGAGGAGGAGAGAAGAGGGTGTGCAAACGGGCATCCTAGGGACTTCTGGGTTAAACCATTTGAAAATGGTTTAACACCGCAAAATAGTATTCCAACCCCCATAAAAACTTCCCTGATATTATGTTATTGTGGGGCAGGGGCGTTAAATGCAGAACATTTATAAATGATATTAAAATTCTCTGCTCTGTGTAGAACATTCCTCACAGTTTACAAAATAAAAAGTTCAAAAAAATTTCTATAGACAATCTGATTATTATTTTGAATGGTGCACTAGTTTTGCATCATTTACTAGAGAAACAACACATACAGTGCTGGGTCTTGCTTGGCTAGGATTTTTATTCATCATCTGTACATGTTTACAAACTTGCCAGTTGAGCAGTGCAATGTGACACAGTGTACACTGAACTATGACTCAGTGCAGTAGTGTCCTCAAAGACATGTGTACTGTACTTACAGGATGTGTCACATGAGGAACCCATGGACAATCTAGTTATGTCATGAAAGTGCATGATTTTGCACACATCTTGTAAAACGGAATAAGGAACAATCCGCTTCTAAATAAACAAGCTTTTATGAAGGAGAACGGATCTATATATATATATCTACATATGTATATTGAAAGTGATGGACATACAGTCGTTAGATAGATAGATAGATAGATAGATAGATAGATAGATAGATAGATAGATAGATATACATACATAAGTAGTTACCAGTGGCAGCTGGTGAAGTTTAGAGATGCAGCCCCCCACATGTTGGGTTCTACCCAATTAACCAAATGACACTCTGTTAAATTCGTACTGTAATATATTCAGCAATCCAGCTAGTGGGGGTTTACTTCCTTACCCATGATGCTCAGCCAAATAAAAAGTCTGACTTGGCTGAAGATCACAACAACAGCTGTCATCATTTTTTTAATATGCTTAACAAGCAATGGAAATGAAAATGACAGCAGATTACATAATCATGGAGAATAACACAGGTCTGCTCTATTAAAACTACATCTCCCGTCAGCCACCACAAGCAGCCTGCGAGCGAGACGTAGCTCAGCCTATGGGGGAGGCGCGCAGCCGGAAATAATCAAGCAGCCGAGCAGCATGGCGCTCCTGGGAGCCCTGAGCAGGTAGAGTATGGTGTCAGATCGGGGACATGGTGCGCAATTATCACCTTACAGTCCGGGTCTCCATGGTGACTGTGGAAGATAGAATTCTATAACCTACATGGAGTGTGTTCCAGAATTCTAAAGGACAAGGGTCAGCACCCTATCGTTAAAGGTCACTGCTGTCATTGTACTCGATACGCAATATCATTTTGGAAAAAATGTGTTCTACGTGTAATATTTCTGATTTTACTGCTCTCTGTTCCTGGCCCAGTACGTCTACTTTTTACCTCCATCTCCAAAAGTAATTGCTGGGTTTTAATGTTTGTCTATAATGTATACTGAAGTTATGAGGTCGTCACATAATACCTCACAGGACTAAATGTATTTATATGGTGCATTACTCTCTCATGGATTGTACTTGGCTACAAGGTCCTCAGTGGGTGTCTTGCATGGAGCCCAGAATAATGCAGAAAATTAGAACATTCATGGTTATTCATGAGCTGAGATAGTCTACCTTTTAATTCCCCACCATATAACTAAATATTCTAGCGTTCTATCGTGGCCCAACATTGATGAGGTATAAAACTAATGTGTAAATTAAAGGACCACTATAGTGCCAGGAAAACATACTCGTTTTACCTGGCACTATAGTGCCCTGAGGGTGCCCCCACCCTCAGGGTCCCCCCCGGCTCTGGAAGGGGGAAAAGGGGTTAAAACTTACCTTTTTCCAGCGCTGGGCGGGGAGCTCTCCTCCTCCGATCCTCCTCTTCTCCTCCCCGTCGGCTGAATGCGCGCGCGGCAAGAGCTGCGCGCGCATTCAGCTGTCTATAGGAAAGCATTATCAATGCTTTCCTATGGAGCGTGCTCTCACTGTGAAAATCACAGTGAGAAGCACGCAAGCGCCTCTAGTGGCTGTCAATGAGACAGCCACTAGAGGAAATAGGGGAAGGCTTAACCCATTCATAAACATAGCAGTTTCTCTGAAACTGCTATGTTTATGAAAAAATGGGTTAACCCTAGCTGGACCATGCACCCAGACCACCTCATTAAGCTGAAGTGGTCTGGGTGCCTAGAGTGGTCCTTTAAGGCAGAACTTGACATGTGTTCACTTTTTAAAGGAATGCTAAAGGCACCCAGACTATGTCCATGAAGCCCTGTCATTTTACACATTGCTGTTTAGTAGATATGTTTTGATTGCAGGGCCAAACACACCTCTAGTGGCTCTTGTCCTGACAGTAATTAGAGTGTGCTTCTGCCACAACGACTGAGTTTGACTCTGTTATGTGACGTTGGATGTTGAATGTCTTTAAATGCTGATTACAGGGAAGCATCGCTGATTACAGGGAAGCATCACTGCTTCCCGATGAGAATCATTTGATTTGATTCTCGTCTCCAGTGTTTCTTTGTGAGAAGCATTGGATTGGATCAGAAGCCAAGTAAATGATGCTTGTAGGATGATCGTGTAGGTGGAGCAGGCTGCAGCACAGAGTGAATTCCGGGCACTATAGACAACTTCAAATCATTGTGTCAAATCAAAGTGTCATGGTGCTTGGAATAGCATTTTTAGCAAACAGAAGAATTGTATTGTAAATTACAGTACCAAAGGGCCATTTTACACAGATTTCACTCCCACACTCTGGAATAACTCCCTTATACATATCTTATTTGTCCTAATGTGTCTTTGTAAAACTTTAAAGACTGAATTTATATCCTATACACGTGTTGCTTCATGTACATGGGAAGAATGTAGAAAAAAACATTTTATAACATTTTAGCATTCAAATTACTTATTTTGTTCTAATGGGAATGTTTAGGGTAATGTATAAGCAATTCTATGTGAAATTGGGGAAATTACATTTCCTTGTTGATTGTCACTTATAGAACTATGATACCTGGCTGCATTTTATCTATCACTCCGATGCTTTTTTTTTGTCTCTCTTTATATTTTCAAAAACTTTTAAATGAACTAACAAAAGGAATGAGAAATATAAACATTGTCATTAATGTAATTTTAAAATGTGCTTTGTCTTCAAAAGGTTATTCTTGACGAAGCCACTGGTAAACCCTGTTTGTGCACAGCAGCGGACATTTGCTAATTTTTCACAGGGGTTCAACCAGCTTCAGGCCCCATTCTCGTCTATAGCAGCCGGTCATGGAATACTAACTCGCAATATGCCCTCGCATTGGCACTTGCAGCAAGTTCGTTTTAAGAAGAGAGGAATGGAGTACCAGCCTAAATTCCTGAAGCGCAAGAGAACTCATGGGTGGCTGAAAAGAATAAGCACAAGAGGTGGAATAGAAGTTATCCTTCGAAGAATGTTAAAAGGCCGAAAATCTTTGACGCATTAAATCTCCCACTTTTCTGTCTGTCCAAATTAACAAAAGTCTTGTAATTAAAGTGCACTAAACATTTTTCTTGTTTAAAAGGCCAGTCTTTTCTTTGGCTATCAACAACTTAATGTATTATCTTTGTGTTTCAAACGGTGTAAGCCCAAAGAGTGCAATCTGACATCTGGTGGCCTAAATTCTGTTAGAGGAAGCAGGAACTGCCGAAGGAGGGGATGAGCACCTCTAATTGGCTCAGAGCATTCAGCTGATGCTTTAAGCCAATCAGCGGATCCCCTGTGGTAACAATTTGTGCTTCCTCTAGCTTCAAGTTGACAAAACTTGAAAAGAGGCAGAGCTTTCACCATCACTTTTTGCTGTGCGACTATGGCTTCCTCTCGCATAGCTCGAGACATGATCTGTGGAGGATCCCATAGTCTTACAGGAGCCTCCATAGATATCAGTGTAGTACTTTTGTGCATGAGTGATAGTACATAGTTACATAGCTGAAAAGAGACTTGCGTCCATCAAGTTCAGCCTACCTCACATTTGTTTTTTGCTGTTGATCCAAAAGAAGGCAAAAAAAACCAGTTTGAAGCACAATTTTGCAACAAACTAGGAAAAAAAATTCCTTCTTGACCCCAGAATGGCAGTCAGATTTATCCTTGGATCAAGCAGTTATTACCCTACATTGAAAAATGAGTGAGTACATAACTCACATGGCTGCTAACAAAGCCCCAAGATCTGAAAAAAGACATTGTCACATATGTACGTCTATCTCCTGCTGAACCCCCAGGCCATCACACTCCAAGCAGGGATGTTATGTTTGGGGCCTTTATATACACATTTTTCTTTGGTGTGTATGTATATATATTTATATATCTATGTTGGATCTTCAGTATAACCATTGAGAGTATGGGAACAATCCAATTCCAGTTACTTGCAATAAGTTTTCTTGTTGCTATGCACATTCTGTACCAGACAGCCACTAGAGGGACTTCCAGGTTGTGACGTTGGGCGTCCTCAAGCTATGCATGAGTACATCCAGCATCACTTGAATTCAGTCGCTTTGCAGGGAATTAATTAATCAGAGGTTTCTCATTTAGAATCCTCTGACTTGGTAATCACGTGCTGAGGAACTGGTAAGAGGCCTGCGAGGAAGGGGGAGGTAGTGCGTGCCTGCAACTTGTACAGCACAGAGGAGCTAACAGAAGTAGGAAGGAATCCTCCCTTGCCATTTGATTGACAGCTGAGGGGGGGGGGGAGTTCCCTAGTTGATTTGTAAAAGTGCTGATTTCTGATAGAAATCAGCACTTTCATAAACTGATGTTAAAGTATGATGGTCATCGCACATAAAACACTTCAGCAAGCTTAAGTGCTTTTGGGGTGTGGAGTGGTTGTTTCATATTAATATTCCTCACCTTAATCTTTTCTTTCCATTCACTTTCTCGCTTTCCTCCTCAGTCCATCTCACATATTACATTTCCTACATTCTCTCACTCACACACACACTTCGGGAAGCAGAGTATTACCCTTTGGTGGCCTATGTGGTAATGGAGAATTAACCAGTCCTTAGAACAGTAGCCTGTTTATAATCCTTTTGGCACTCATATCTACCAACTGGACGATCCTGCTGTAGTCTAATTTGTTTTTAATTATTTATTTTGGTAGTGCAGGGTATACACAAATGGAGATATTTGCACATAAAGTAGTAAGGAAATCACAAGTCATGCATATCCCGCTTGATGCACTTTTTTTATTCTCTATGTGCTTGGCAGAACAAAAAGTACATATTACACATTGGGTTGTCTTACATGAAGTAACATTTCATAGTGTAGCATTTCAAGTGTACAGAAAAAAAACAAAACATTTTTTATTTAAGAGAGAAAGATGACAAGAAGAGCACAGTGCATATTGAAAAGAAAAGTAGGTTAGAAAGTATGCACTGGGAATAAACTGTATAGAGTAGACAGCTCCTAGCTGTGTAGGAAGACAAGCAATTTAGCTTAGAGTACAAACCCCTCAGAGGCCCCAGACAGGCTATAAATGAGAGCCCCAAAAGAGTTAAGAAGCAATAAGTGAAAATAAGCACAATAGTTGTTCCATATGCACAATGCCTTGCCAGGTTACATGGTCAAAAAGGGGTCCCGGCCTTGGACTCAACCTATGCCCTGTAGGGTCCGTGTACAGACCCTCCATGGAATTCTCAGTATGAGCCTCGGCAGCCTACTTGAGTAGCGATGCTGGGTTGCTTTGTGGTGTGCGGGTAGCAGGCAACCCCTCGATGGTCCCCAGGTTCAGCATGCTGCATCATGTGCCGCAGGTCTCTCGATCGGCCTCTGCCCGAATCTTTGTGCCCGGTCACGGCAGGAGCTTCCTTCCTCTCTCTTAGCGCAGTCCGCAGACTCATTGCGCTTGTGTGGTTCTTCGGAGCAGCAGGCCCCAGATACGACTCCAGCTTCGCCACTGAGGATCCAAGTATATAATTTGGGTGGTGCAGGACATAGAGCTGTAGTGTGGAATGAAGGAGTCTGCGGTGCCCGCCATCTTGTTTGCATGAGTGCCAGTCGCTTGTTCAGCGGGGAGGACACGTGTTTGCAGCTTTGCCGGGGAGCCTCCAGAGAGCAGACCGGGATAACCCCCACTGGTCCAAAGGGGGGTTGGAATGGGGCACCAGTTAGCAGCACAGGTCGGCCGCTTCCCCACTCTCCCAGATTCACTAGGCTGCCAAGTCAGCTCAGGTTCTTCGGTAGCGTGGACACCAGGCGGCATCAATACGCTCCAATAACACCCTAATCGGTTTAGGAGCACTACGGGAGTATGCAGTATCTATGATGAGTGTACAGTTTGCAGGGATAGCTGCTCTTGTTAGATTAAGTGCCAGAGCTCCCACTAGATGCTTCAGTCTGGCATGGCAGTCAGGCCCCGCCCCCCTTAATGCACTTTTTTAGGGTTTTATAAAACAGGATTACTAGCTATTAAGGACATCTATATGATGAGTGAAAATCATCATATAACCATCAGTTGTACATGACGCCCTATTAAAGGTGATGGCTTTATGTCATGGAGGATTTCATGGGGGTAGTGAGAGTGGGCCGCATGGTCATTGATATACTCAAAGTTGGGTATTCATGTTAAGGTCCATTTAGGACTATAATAGCATTTTGCAAGGAGTGCTGACGGGCAGGTGGACTAGTAAGCATTGGGAGGTTGCCGGTAGGCTGTCTGCCCCTGATGTGGGATAGTATGGTGAGAGAGAATGCAATTGAGTGTACTACACCTAACCACGGGGGCAGCGGGGTTGGTGTTAATTATGCCATTCCTTAAATACTGGAGAGTGGGTGCCCATAGAAGCGAGTGTGCTCCACAGGGTTATGAGAAAGGTACAAGCATTACAATTAGCAATCACTATGCAAGAACATTGTAATATATCGGAACCATAGAACAAAATAAAATAAGATAGAATGGAAAAAACAACTAAAACCAGCTGTGATGTGTTAATCTATAGTAGTGGCCCATTAAGTTCATGGGGTACTGGAGCTGTCGTCGTCAAAGGGAACGTTGGTTCGCAGGCAATCTTCTGTCACTGTCATGGTACCTGTGCTTGTACACCTCTGGCACGTGGAACAAAGGGTAACATTAGCCGGATCCAATGAGTTTTCGGGCTGACTGCGGGTTGTAGGTGGGAGAGGCAGTCCCAATTTCTTTAGGAATGGTGTCGCGTTGTTCATGGAGTGGAGAACCACTAGAGCTGACAGTCCCCCATCTGTAAGGCAATCCTGCCGAACGTAATTGGCTGGTAACAGATCCATAGGATTTTCTCTATATCAGGGTAGCTCTGGTTAAATCCTGAAAAAAGGTCAAGGTTGAGTCCTCAAAGGCAAGAGGTGTTTTGCCTTTCAGAGCTGTCATTATTTGGATTTTTACTGGGAATGCGGAAGAGTCAATCTATGGTTAGTTTTCATGCCACTGTGGGAGGTAGCAAAGTAGTGAGGCAATTCCTCCGTGGAGACAGCAGCAGGCACACCACTGATTTTAATATGTGTGCGATGTTGTCGGTCCTCCATGGCTGTGATTCTGTCAGACATGATTCTCTGATGTGTTTGAAGTTGGTATACGGAGTCCTGTACTGTGGACAAGTTAGCTTGTGTGTCCCCTATGTCCCCCTCAGTGACCTTTACTTTTTCAGTTACTGCTTGCAGATCCTTTTTAAATATAGCTGGGTCAGCAGCTAGTATCTTGTGGATGCCGGCCAGAAGAACCTTCAGGTCACGCTTTGTCGTCGAGGCTAAGTCGTCGGAGGATTCCGCAAGTATGGTGTGTGTTGCCTGAGAGTTTGACAGCCCCTCCGTTTCCCGTTCGCTTGGCTCGGGGTCGGCCTCCCACTGATCTCCCGCTAAGGAGCGCCTCGAGGCCAGGGATTGCCAGTGTGTGGTAGGCCATGGATCTCTGTTGCCATTTAGTCTGCTTTTGGGCCTGGAAAAAAGGCATCACTTGATGCAGCCTGGGCAGCAGAGTTCAGGTATGCAGTTTTTAGGGCTGGATTAGCATCTGGTTCGCCAATATTGGGCAGATTGTCAGTTTTCCTTGTGAAGCTCAAAAAAATGGAGTTTGGTTAGGTCTGCAAGCTGGCTCCGGTCCCCGCATTAATCTAATTTTTAATGTCAAACACTATAGGATCTCATTGTAGTAGGAGCTCAACCAGGCCCATTGCATTTCCCCTTGAGTTGAGTGCCCATTGAGCTTAATTGGTGCCCAGCTCTGGTAACAGAAAAAACTGCTTAGCAAGTAATTCACTTTGGTTTAGTGAACTAAATAATATATTGCAAAATATAAGCGAAAATACTTCAACTGTGATTATAGCAGAATTATGGAATTTTTCCAAATCAGCTGTTGTAGCCTAAATTTCAATGCAGACATGTTCCTGTCCCAAAGAGACTAACACCCTTGGAGCAACTGAAGTTGTTATAGTGTCTGGAGACTCCTAGGGCCATCCTTACATTCAGTGTTAAACTGTTTTAATGGAAAACAAGTAAACCCAGCGGTTCACTCCCCTCAACCCCCCATGGTGCTTGAACTAATAAGGTAGTATTAGCCTGAACTGCAATGGGCAGTGGTGATTGGCTAAGGATTTCAGCAGATCACTGTCAAGGTGTAACAGCTGTTCATTGTTGAGCATAGATGATATAGTGCCTAGCCCTATAGTGTACCCTTGGTCCATTAGTAATTAAGCTTAGAGCCTGGTCTAATGGCTTGCAAATTAGAACCAAAAATTAAATCAAGATGATTAGTTTTGTTGCATTGGTTCTGTAGGTAAAATAAATTGATATCACCCTAAGAAACCCTCCGTAACAAAACATTATTTCTGGTCTTTTCACTTCAATTTCCAGAAAATAGCTTAAATATGGACACTTAAAATAAAATAAACCCCTCCAGCAGCACCACAATAGTCCTTGCACCCAAACATGGTACTCAGATTACTCTGTCATCACATGCAAAGTAAAATAAGACAGTAAATCTTTATCTCACCATCGATGGCTGATATCCATTGTCCTCGATATGAGTGGATTTTTTGGAGTAACATATATCTGGACTGGAGACGTGCACACATTTTTCAGTTTCAATAACATCTGGGGCGATGTGTTAACATTAAGAAAGAAGGAATACATAATGGTGATTAGAGAACTATGTATTATGGGAAAGAAACGGCAGTGAGGAGTTAGTGTTAAAGGAACACTCTAGGTGCAATAACAACTTCATCAAAGTTAGGACGTTATGGTGGCATGAAGTCCCTGTGCTTCATTACTTGTAGGGGTACATTTTTAATCCCAAATTTGGCTTGTCCAGCACTGTTCCTCACAGTCATGATCGACATCTGGTTTCTAAATTCATTTAGAGGATGCATGGACTAACATCTGGCTTAGAGCCTTCAGCTGATGCTGTAAGTCTTAGAGGACCAAATGGGACAGTGCTGGTAAAGGGTACTGTGTGGGTGTACAGTGGCTGCCTGTGAGAGTTTGCATGTAGAAGGGGCTAATTGTGGTGTAGTGTGTGGTAGCATATGTAAAGGAGCTGTAGAGATTCTGTGCATGGTTGGTAGGAGGGTGGGGAGAGAGAGAGAGAGTTTATTTTGGAGCTGCAGTGTGTGTGTATATGTGTGTTTATAGGAGCTGTTGTGTTTTTTATGCGTATAGGGGTTGTAGTCTGTGTGTATGCATAGGGGTTGTGTATAAGAGTGTGTGTATATAAGGGTATGAGTGTAAATGTGAAGTGGAATATTTTGTGTATAGGTGGTTGGATAGGAGCTTTTTGATATGATACAGCCTGTATTGTATCCCGAGAGGGAGATTGTACAGTCTATGCTGTTACTTCTAGAGCTTTTAGGAGCTCCAAAAGACGTGTGTTTTGGGCATATTTACTAAATAATTAATTGTTATTACATACTACGCTATTTTCTCTTTGTATTTTCGATGCTAAACACTACTGTATATATAGAGACTTCTTTCAACTCTATGTGTGGATATGTGCACCTGTAATTACAGATGGGTGTTTGTTTTCTTTCTAGAACGGTTGCAATTCTCTGGAACTAACAGGTTTTTTTTTCCCCTCTCATCACATAATACACCGTGGAAGTGTTTACTGGGGTGAATAAAGAGGTGGAGGTAAGTAGAAAAAAGCAAAATCATACTTCCAAGTTGCAAACGTCTCAACATCTCCGTTGAACAAAGAGGTACCCTTTCATTTTAGGGATGTAAGTAAAGGTCTGGCCAAGGGTCAGGCTGTTCTGAGACATTGTATGTGACTTACTAATAATTTGTGAAACTAAAATGTAATTTAAAACAAGAGCAGTGTATCTTATTTACAACAACTGATTTCAACACACTTTTAGTGTAGTATAAACACATTTCTGAATTATTGCAGTGGATCTCTGTTCACTGAGACACACCAACAAAATAGAGTTCCTAGAAAAGAAGGACATTATGATAGAAAAGAGGGACAGAGCGATTTAAGCTTAAAATAGGGGCCGTCCTCCCTAAACAGAGATACATGATAGGTATGATCCTGCAGGAAGCCTCACTGCATCCCTTAAAACACTGCAAATTAATAAAGGACATTTTAAATTTTCGGCAGGTGAGTGGGGACAGGGCTGTTCTGAAAAATATTAGGTGACTTACTAATAATTTATATAACTAAAATGTAATTTAGAACAAGAACAATTTATCTTATTTACACAGACTGATTTCTAAACACTGTGAATATATTTGCTGTGAAGCTCTGGTATAACTTCAGACACTTGAAGAATACTTAGCTCCAGAAGGATCGGGCCCCAAAATAGGGACTGTTCCTCCTTGGGAGGCATATCACTGCCCATGATATTTTGGGGCAAACATGCACCTACACAGATACTGAAGAGGGCATGCTCACTCAGTCATTCCTTCATTAGGGCTGTGCACACATCTGGTGTCAGGGTTTAGATTTTTTATTTACATGCCATGCTTGTCCAGCAAATTCAAAAACAGGTAATGGTGAGACTTATAAGAGATAAATATAGCCTATAACTCACTTTTCCTTAGTTTTATCTTTTTGGGGGAATGGGAGCAGGAATCTCACATCACCCAGTATCTTTTTAGTAAACCAAGCAAAAAAAAAAAAAAGACCACTCCCACATTGCACTGCAGGCAACTATTGTCAAGTGTCTGCCCCCCCCCCACTGAAAACTACAACTCCCGACAAGCTCTGCGCGCTGTGATACTCTTCCAGCCAATGAGACAACAGCTGCGAGTGCAGCGAGGCGAACAGGTGATCATTTCTAACGTCAACCTACACTGCTAGCTGTCATTACGTCATTGAGAACGCCGCCGACAGCCAATCATCGATGAGTATTTCCGAGAGACGGGAACAATCGCCAATGTGGTCAGGAAAGCGGCTGTGAGGCAGTGAGCGCAGCGTCCAATCACGGCCGGGCTGGCAGGCCGAGTTCCCGCGGAGTTAGTGTGAGAGGGCGAGGCCGGAGAAGCTGTGAAGCGGCTGATGATGGTTAGTAGGTAGAGGGGGACTCACACAGGGCGGTGTGCCGGCAGGTCCTCCATGGAGATGGGGTGCGGGAGGGCGCGAATGGGTCACTGAGAGTGATGGAGTCCGCTACATGTTATCAGTGACAGGCCCAGCACTGGGTGGGCATAGAGGATGACCGTCAGTGAGTCAGGCCCTGTGTCTGTAATATCACACACTGAGAGAGAGAGGGGACCAGGCCCTGTATTGTCTGTGTAATATCACACACAGAGAGAGAGAGGGGGGACCAGGCCCTGTGTCTGTAATATCACACACACTGAGTGAGAGAGGGGACCAGGCCCTGTGTCTGTAATATATCACACACTGAGTGAGAGAGGGGACCAGGCCCTGTGTCTGTAATATCACACACACTGAGAGAGAGAGAGGGGACCAGGCCCTGTGTCTGTAATATCACACACACTGAGAGAGAGAGAGGGGACCAGGCCCTGTGTCTGTAATATCACACTCTGAGAGAGAGAGGACCAGGCCCTGTGTCTGTAATATCACACACACAGAGAGAGAGAGGGGACCAGGCCTGTGTTTTGTAATATCACACACACTGAGTGAGAGAGGGGACCAGGCCCTGTGTCTGTAATATCACACACTGAGAGAGGGGACCAGGCCCTGTGTCTGTAATATCACACACTGAGAGAGAGAGAGAGGGGACCAGGCCCTGTCTGTAATATCACACACTGCGAGAGAGAGAGGGGACCAGGCCCTGTCTGTAATATCACACACTGAGAGAGAGAGAGGACCAGGCCCTGTGTCTGTAATATCACACACTGAGAGAGAGAGAGAGGACCAGGCCCTGTGTTTGTAATATCACACTCTGAGAGAGAGAGGGGACCAGGCCCTGTGTCTGTAATATCACACACGGAGAGAGAGAGAGGGGACCAGGCCCTGTGTCTGTAATATCACACACTGAGAGAGAGAGGGGACCAGGCCCTGTGTCTGTAATATCACACACTGAGAGAGAGAGAGGGGACCAGGCCCTGTGTCTGTAATATCACACACTGAGAGAGAGAGAGAGAGGGGACCAGGCCCTGTGTCTGTAATATCACACACACACAGAGAGAGGGGACCAGGCCCCGTGTCTGTAATATCACACACACACACAGAGAGAGGGGACCAGGCCCTGTGTCTGTAATATCACACACTGAGAGAGAGAGGGGACCAGGCCCTGTGTCTGTAATATCACACACTATGAGAGAGAGAGGGGACCAGGCCCTGTGTCTGTAATATCACACACACTGAGAGAGAGAGAGGGGACCAGGCCCTGTGTCTGTAATATCACACACTGAGAGAGAGAGGGGACCAGGCCCTGTGTCTGTAATATCACACACTGAGAGAGAGGGGACCAGGCCCTGTGTCTGTAATATCACACACTGAGAGAGAGAGAGAGGACCAGGCCCTGTGTCTGTAATATCACACTCTGAGAGAGAGAGGGGACCAGGCCCTGTGTCTGTAATATCACACACTCTGAGGGAGAGAGGGGACCAGGCCCTGTGTCTGTAATATCACACACTGAGAGAGAGAGAGGGGACCAGGCCCTGTGTCTGTAATATCACACACTGAGAGAGAGAGAGGGGACCAGGCTCTGTGTCTGTAATATCACACACTGAGAGAGAGAGAGGGGACCAGGCTCTGTGTCTGTAATATCACACACTGAGAGAGAGAGAGGGGACCAGGCCCTGTGTTTGTAATATCACACACTGAGAGAGAGAGAGGACCAGGCCCTGTGTTTGTAATATCACACACTGAGAGAGAGAGGGGACCAGGCCCTGTGTTTGTAATATCACACAGTGAGAGAGAGGGGACCAGGCCTTGTGTCTGTAATATCACACAGTGAGAGAGAGGGGACCAGGCCCTGTGAAAATAGATTTTTTTTTTTTTTTTTTTATTTAATAATAATTGTACATGTGGGACCAGCAGCCACCTTCTGTTTCCAATTCTTCCCCGTTTATACCTTCACACTTCCTATCAGAACAGGATATTAAAGATCAGCAGCTTTAGATTTGTCCGTAGTTTTCAGAAAGTAAACCCATTTTTTGTTATTCAAAGGAGCTGTTTATCCTTCCTTACCAGCAATGGTATAAATCAGGCTTCCCCAAACTCCGGCCCTCCAGATGTGGCTGAACTATAACTCCCATGATTCTATGAATGAAATAGTCTGATAATCATGGGAGTTGTAGTTCAGCAACATCTGGAGCCTGGTTTAAATAAACCACATGTAATGCAAAACAGCACCCCATACTGTACAGTCTGCCATATGCATTTTTTTAAAGTGGATAAAATCTCCTATTTACAGACAAATATCTTGACTAAAGATGTCTTTATCTGTGGTATAACCTAATTTTTGTATGAAATGTGATTTTTACATTGTTTTAAAACATGCTAGTTTCTTTTGGATCGCAAAATAATGAAGTATTATAGTTTCTTGTAATCCTGAAAGTTCGTCACTACAAAGTTATATAAGTCTATTGAAAAGTTAATGCAAGAAACTGCAATGCTAATAAAGGAAGAGAGGACCTAAATAAGAAGGAACGTACATCACTTGAGTTCCAGACTTAGTTGGGGGTTATCCCCCATGTACAGGGAGTGCAGAATTATTAGGCAAATGAGTATTTTGACCACATCATCCTCTTTATGCATGTTGTCTTACTCCAAGCTGTATAGGCTCGAAAGCCTACTACCAATTAAGCATATTAGGTGATGTGCATCTCTGTAATGAGAAGGGGTGTGGTCTAATGACATCAACACCCTATATCAGGTGTGCATAATTATTAGGCAACTTCCTTTCCTTTGGCAAAATGGGTCAAAAGAAGGACTTGACAGGCTCAGAAAAGTCAGAAATAGTGAGATATCTTGCAGAGGGATGCAGCACTCTTAAAATTGCAAAGCTTCTGAAGCGTGATCATCGAACAATCAAGCGTTTCATTCAAAATAGTCAACAGGGTCGCAAGAAGCGTGTGGAAAAACCAAGGCGCAAAATAACTGCCCATGAACTGAGAAAAGTCAAGCGTGCAGCTGCCACGATGCCACTTGCCACCAGTTTGGCCATATTTCAGAGCTGCAACATCACTGGAGTGCCCAAAAGCACAAGGTGTGCAATACTCAGAGACATGGCCAAGGTAAGAAAGGCTGAAAGGCGACCACCACTGAACAAGACACACAAGCTGAAACGTCAAGACTGGGCCAAGAAATATCTCAAGACTGATTTTCTAAGGTTTTATGGACTGATGAAATGAGAGTGAGTCTTGATGGGCCAGATGGATGGGCCCGTGGCTGGATTGGTAAAGGGCAGAGAGCTTCAGTCCGACTCAGACGCCAGCAAGGTGGAGGTGGAGTACTGGTTTGGGCTGGTATCATCAAAGATGAGCTTGTGGGGCCTTTTCGGGTTGAGGATGGAGTCAAGCTCAACTCCCAGTCCTACTGCCAGTTCCTGGAAGACACCTTCTTCAAGCAGTGGTACAGGAAGAAGTCTGCATCCTTCAAGAAAAACATGATTTTCATGCAGGACAATGCTCCATCACACGCGTCCAAGTACTCCACAGCGTGGCTGGCAAGAAAGGGTATAAAAGAAGAAAATCTAATGACATGGCCTCCTTGTTAACCTGATCTGAACCCCATTGAGAACCTGTGGTCCATCATCAAATGTGAGATTTACAAGGAGGGAAAACAGTACACCTCTCTGAACAGTGTCTGGGAGGCTGTGGTTGCTGCTGCACGCAATGTTGATGGTGAACAGATCAAAACACTGACAGAATCCATGGATGGCAGGCTTTTGAGTGTCCTTGCAAAGAAAGGTGGCTATATTGGTCACTGATTTGTTTTTGTTTTGTTTTTGAATGTCAGAAATGTATATTTGTGAATGTTGAGATGTTATATTGGTTTCACTGGTAATAATAAATAATTGAAATGGGTATATATTTGTTTTTTGTTAAGTTGCCTAATAATTATGCACAGTAATAGTCACCTGCACACACAGATATCCCCCTAACATAGCTATAACTAAAAACAAACTAAAAACTACTTCCAAAAATATTCAGCTTTGATATTAATGAGTTTTTTGGGTTCATTGAGAACATGGTTGTTGTTCAATAATAAAATTAATCCTCAAAAATACAACTTGCCTAATAATTCTGCACTCCCTGTATGCGTGTTTCTGGTTGTTTACACAATTAGCGAGATTCTTTTTTTCTTTTGACAGGAATAGATAGGATAGGAAGTCAGAGTTTGTAGCTTTCACATGTTTAAATTCACTATACATTAATGGGAAAACTGGATGTTGTTTATTCTAATTTACTTTACTGCATTTTTGTATTTCAGGCGGACTTCTTGAAAGGATTGCCTGTCTACAATGAGAGCAACTTTAGCAGATTCCATGCGGACTCTGTGTGCAAAGCTTCAGTGAGTAGCTTGCCTTTGTGAATTGCCTGTAATCTTTGTAAGAAGCAGGATGTCTCCAGTCTGTTTAATATTGTTGTCAAGCAGTGGCTGTTTTTCTGTTTTTTTTGTTTGTTTTTTTTGTTTGTTTTTTTTAAACTGCATTCACGTATATAGTTAACTGCATTTCATTCAGTTTTAAAACTCTAAACTGTTTATAAAGGTATTGTTTCAAGAATTATTTTGTGTTTAGGAAAGATGAGATTGTATGATGTATAGTAAATTTGACTGATCTGTATCTTCATTGGACCAGAAGGTGGCTTAGGGGGAGTTCCATAAAATATTTAATCTTATCCTTTTTTTTTTTTTTTTTTTTTCTGTGGCATTTTTGAGAATTTTGTATTCCACATCTGAAAGTCTTAAATTACATTAAAGGGATACTCCAGACCTCAAAATCACTTTAGCTGAAGTGGTTAATGTGTTAAGAGTGTGTCTTCTTGGTAGTTAAGCCCAGTGGAGCTAAACTCAGGAGGCAGGCAATTGCTCAGAACCCTGCCTTGTAAAGACTTAGAGCTGCATGGGGAAGTCTGTGATTAGACATCCAAAGGAGGTGTTCCTGGGTTAAAAGGGGGGGAGCTAGCCGACACGAGATCTGCATCTTTTGCAGACTGTCTTTGTGTATATACTCACAATGAAAAAAATAAATGCATAATGCATGCATGTTTCCAATGGTGATATATCTACTAAACAGTGTTTTGGTTTCCCCCCCCCCTTCTTTTGCATGGGGACGACGACATTGGAGTGTCCCTATACGACATACAAATCAAACCTCTACTTTATGTTTAAAGCTCTGAGGTTTATTTTCTTAAATGTGTTCCTTTACTCCTTATTATTTACCTATTGAAATTTTAACTACTGCTTTGGTGGCTACTTGTGCAGGTTCAACAAATCCATTTCAGCTTAGTATTTGATAAATGTCTGAATTACATCTTTTGCATTCGCTGTCCTAAATGCAGGTTTTTAGAAACTGTACTTCCTATGCATGCAATGTAAGTTCAAGTTAAGAAGCGTATTACATAAGGACTGTTTTATTAATCGTGGTATTAAAGGTAACCTGATCTATTTTTAATTTATTCTTCCCTTTCCAAACTGAGAATTGTTGGAAATTGCCTATGCAATGCAAACTTTCTCTGGAGGGAGCACCCCGAGGGGAGAAGTATCTTCCCCTGTTGGGTGTTCTGCTGTCGAAACACACACAATCTGTACAGAATTGACATTAGGCAGCCGTAAACAGATTTACTAACCCTCGGGACACAATTTTAAAAAGTCTATGTTCAGTGTTTCAAGCTGAAACGCTGCACATACAAATTCTGCCACTGTGACCACTAAATCTATGAAGTGGTCGTGGTGGTTGTAGTAACCATTTAAGCTAACATTGTTTTGATGCCTATGGTCTTTAGTATTCTTTGCGCAGGGCCTCTGTGGCATGGGACTTGCTTGCACTATAACCTAATGAGCATAAGTTGTTTTGTTATTTACATTCCCAGTATGTGAGCTGACTCAATTGCTGATTTGGAGAGAGATGTTTTGCAAAATCTGAAGTGTAGTAGGGTGTATTATTTATATATATAATTTTTTTTTTTTTTTTTTATGAAATGACTCCAGCCTAGCCCAATGAAGCTAGTGTAGAACAATGCAACTATTTGTAGCCTGTGAATCCTCAGGCCACAGCGTTTTAGTTGAAAAGGCATTCATAGTGGAATAGCTTTGACATCTGCTTGTAATGTCTATTAAACATAATTGATTTTCTGTGCTCAAGATGAACAGATGGTTACTTTGATTACTACCAATGCACTTGGGGGCTGTCACAAAAAATAGCATACCCTTACACTTTGTGCTACATGTGCATAGTGTAAAAGGGTTAAATATTAGGGGGGAGGTGGTGTGTGTTATGGAAGTTATATGTAGGGCTATTAAAGCAATATTCTAGGCTCATAGTGTCCCACTCTAATCAGCTATGTAAGCCATATCACCTGCAAAGGGTTTCTGAGCCTTTTAAATGGTCTCAAGATCTGAAAGACTGTTGACCTGACAGTTGTGCAGAAAACCATCACTGACACCCTCCATAAGGAGGGAAAGCCTCAAAAGGTAATTGCAAAGTGCTGTATCAAAGCACATTAATAGAAAAGTTATGTGGAAGGGAAACGTGTGGAAGAAAAAGGTGCACAAGCAGCAGGGATGACCGCAGCCTGGAGAGGATTGTCAGGAAAAGGCCATTCAAATGTGCTGGGGACTTTCACAAGGAGTGGACTGAGGCTGGAGTCAGTGCATCAAGAGCCACCACACACAGACGGATCCTGGACATGGGCTTCAGATGTCATATTTCTCTTGTCAAGCCGCTCCTGAACAACAAACAACGTCAGAAGCGTCTTACCTGGGCTAAAGAAAAACAGACCTAGTCTATTGCTCAGTGGTCCAAAGTCCTCTTTTCTGATGAAAGCAACCTTTGCATATCATTTGGAAACCAAGTACCCAGAGTCTGGAGGAAGAATGGAGAGGCAAACACTGTCCAGGGAGCCATGTCATCTGCTGGTGTTGGTCCACTGTGCTTCATTAAGTTCAGGGTCAACGCAGCTGTCTACCAGAAGACTTTGGAGCACTTCATGCTTCCTTCCGCAGACTAGCTTTATGGGGATGCTGACTTCATTTTCCAGCAGGACTTGGCACCTGCGCACACTGCCAAAAGCACCAAAGCCTGGTTCAATGACCGTGGGATTACTGTGCTTGATTGGCCAGCAAACTCGCCTGACCTGAACCACATAGAGAATCTATGGGGCATTGCCAAGAGAAAGATGAGACATGAGACCGAAAGGCAGAAGAGCTGAAGCTGCTATTGAAGCATCCTGGTCTTCGATAACACCTCAACAGTGCCACAGGCTGATAGCTTGAGGCAGTAATTGCTGCAAAAGAGGCCCAAACCAAGTACTGAGTCCATATGCATGCTTATACTTTTCAGAGGTCCGATATTATTCTATGTACACTCCTTGTTTTATTGATGGCATGTAATCTATTTTACTGAGATTGTGGATTTGAGGTTTCATGAGCTGTAAGCCATAAACATCGCACTCATGACAAATCACGACTTGAACTATCTTGCTTTGCATGTAATGCGTCTATCTCATATATTCCCCCTTTTACGTTGCATTTCTGAAATAAATGAACTTTTGCACGATATTCTAATTTTTCGAGTATCACCTGTAGAGAGAAGATATGTCATGACATCCCCACCTCTCGCTGTCATCAAGTTTGTTTTAGGTTCAAGCTCCAGGTGGTTCGAGAACCTAGCAACTCCCCTGAGTTTTGATAATGGCACATTAAAGGAACACTATTGTGTCAGGAATACAAAAGTGTGTTTTTGACACTGTATGCCTGATGTGGCATTTTAGATGACTGGCCTTGCACTGGTCGCCCTAAAAAAGTGATTTTACACACCTTTTCTCCCACATTGCATTGGTCTTGCTGCGGCTGACTCCACCTCCATGGCTGAAATCATCAATCTTGAAAGCCTTGGTAGGCTGTTGCGCATATGCAGCAAAATGTTGTACTGCGCCAAACAGCGTCTCCTCGTAGAGCTGCATTGAACCAATCTACCTTGGAGGCATTGTGCATAACTAAAATTGTAAGCACCTCTATTGGCCGTGTATGTGACTGCCACTAAGGGTGTTACTAGGCACCAATTTAAACACTGCTTTTCTCTGGAAAGGCATTGGTTATATTGAAAATCCTGCAGAGAAAGGCTATAGGCACCAGAACCACTACATTTAGCTGTGGTTCTGTTGACTTTAGCGTCCAATTTAAGCTAAATATTTGATAACTCCACCTGATCATTATTACCTCCCAATTAACAGTGAGCAGTATAAAGGATACATATGGATGTTATCAGTCCTTATACCATCCAATGGTCAGATTAGACCAGTACTTATTTCATCCCAGTAATTGGAGCCCAATATTTATATCAACCAAACCTATACACTACTACCCCCTGTTTACAACTAAAGTAAGCAATATAATTTTGTTTATTAACGTATTCCTTTGCAGTTATCAGGAATTGGTAAAGAGTCTCTTGCTGCGTTAAAGTGACCCTGTGGCAACCACCTTGCTGGTAATTCTAGCATTAACAGCTGTAAGGTAGTGGTCAGTGTAAAATGCCATGGAATTGCATAGATATGTTTCGCACAGTTGACTTTCAAAGAAATGTAAAAGCTTTTCTAAATCGCATTCATGATTCTGAATTGTATTGCAGAACAGAAGGCCTTCGGTTTACCTCCCTACAAGAGAATATCCTTCAGATCAAAGTAAGTGTTTAGATTGCCTATTTGCCTGTAAGTTATCTTTAAATTTATATATATATATATAATATATTTTTTTTTCATGTGTATTTTGATGTACATTATGTAACTTAAAATTTGAACGAATATATATATATATATCAGTGGACTTTCCTGACAAATCAGGAGGTCCTCCTGCAGCCAATCCAGTTGATCGTGGGGACACCACATGACTCTGATCTGCTGGATTGACTACAGGGGAATACTTGGGTTGTCACACAGGTGTCTCCCTAATTGTGTTCGGAGTGCAGTGTAAGTATTCTGGCTTGAGGAGGGCCAGATTAAGACATGCTATGCTGCCAAACCATTGTTAAAATCCTCCTTTGGTAGAACGCCCTAATGTCGGGAACGGGTTAAAGAGTTTCTCCAACCCTTATTTGTTGTAGGAATAACACAACATTCTGTAGCTCCCCCTCCCTCAATATAAACTCTACAAAAAGTAAAAAAAAAAAGTTAAGTAAGTTTACTTTCTTAAATCCAACGCCAGATGAAGGTGCTCAGCATATCCATAAATAAGCTTTTAATTGGACCAGTTTCCTGGTTTAGAGTGCGTGTTCGTTTGCAAAACCGATGAGGGGAGAGGGAGGGCATGTGGGACAATAAAGCAAATACCAAATGGGATAGAGAGGAGGGGAGACATGAGCTTATCCCTTGCAGGCTCTGCCTGCAACAGTGTAGATTTTACATCTGTAGGCAGCGTGCCGTGCAGAAAATTGATATTAGGCAAGCCAGCACTCTGTCCTGAGCTGCCTAAGTCACGTGCGCCAGGGGTGCACATCATGCCCCAAGCTCACAACTACTAATATAGCTTGATGTGCAGCGTTCCAAGCATTTCATAAAGCAGAAGTGGTCATGGTGGTTGGAGTGACCCTTTACAGTGAAGTGATTTTGGTGCTTAGGCTGTCTAGGGTTACATCTTTGTCCACTATTACATTCTTCTAAGCATCATTCCCTATGAGAAATGCAACAAAAATGTATGTCCTTTACTGTATAAATGTATGCTGCTCTCCAAGAGCATTCTTAGTCTGCATATGTTACCAAATGGATTGAAAGCTGAACACTTCCATCTGTTACTGTCTGCAAAAGGCTTGCGTGCAGGCATTCAAAAAGGATGAGCATCTACATAAATTAAAGTATTCTTCTCTAAAATGAGAATTGTTGGTGGAAATTGAAAGTGAATTTCAAATTTAAGGCCAAAGTAGCTGGACTGTAAGCATGGTTGAGTTGGAGAATTTTGTTTCTAGTTTACTCATCCTGGCCTTAAATTTGCTACTCCTGACAAGTCACACATTGGTGAATTACCCTTAGATATCTCTAAAAAGTTCATGTCTCACAGGTTGGGGTGGTTGTTGTTGTTGTTACAAAGCCAATGTATCTACTTGTGTTTAATAAATGTTACACGTTGGCTTTATGAATGGATTTCATTTTGTATTAAACAGTAAGAATGAACATGTATTCACTTAATGTTTTACTTTGTTTCAGTCATAGTAACAGAAAAAACGAATATACTTTTACGTTACCTACATCAGCAATGGGACAAAAAGGTAAGGCTTGTCAACATTCAAGACAAACCTGCATTGCTATGTCTCAGGCTAAACATTTAGAAAACATGGACAATGAAAGTTCGAAAAAGTAACTAAATATAACTTAGTTGTGCTCTGAAGTCAGTACTTAAAGTGACACTAGTCACTAGAACTACAGATTAACGTAGTTGTTTTGGTGTCTATAGCCTGTCCCTGCAGGCATTTTAATGTAAACACTGCCTTTTCAGTGACATATAGTGTCAGGAATACACGTTAAATATTCCTGACACTATAGTGTTCCTTTAAAGATGCATATATACAACGTGGCTTATAATATGTTTGATTTGTGTTCCTAGAACACTAACCACATCTATATGGTTGACCAAAGTTGCTTGCTCATTTTGTGTTTGTGCAATCCCTCGTTCAGGCAATGAAAGTATCACGTTTTTAAAGCCAGTGCGTCTTTTTATACAGTGGATAGATGAAAGATAACATCTTGGGTAAAAGTAACCTTGTCTGCTCAACTGCCAGCTCCTGTAATTTGCATGTAAAAATTTTCTTTTTCCATATTCAAGTCCCTATCAACTATAGATATTCTTATTCTGTTTTTTGTTTTGTTTTTTGTCACAGAATGCAGCCAAAAAAAGAGATCAAGACCAGTTAGAAATAGGTGAGACTTCGGCTCCCCCACGAAAGATCGCCAGGACAGACAGCCAAGAAATGAATGAGGACACATAGGCACCCTTGAGAACCTTTCCAACCCACTCCTTCGTATTCTTCCCTTGCAGATCAGGATCATCCTGCAATGTTGGTGGGAGTATCACAGCCTTCCTTCCCTGCCTCTCGTTACTCTTCTGATCTCATAGGAGCCAAAATAATATTTATTTCTTCCAGAATTTATTTATGCTCTGCTTCATACAGTTCGGAGAAAAATAATGGTGTCGCAACAACAAACTGTTTTTTGGTTTTGTTTTTTTTCTCACCCCCACCCGCCAATGTCTTGCTGCTCACATGAAAACGCATCATATTTTGTTTGCCACCTTTTTTTTATTTTGTGCTGGATTTTACTTAACCAGGTATATTTGTCCAAATTACATCAAAATTGAGCAAGTAAAGATGTGGACAAATTACTTTCTGCTGGAGAAATCAAAAAAGTAAAGTGAGCTTCGTGATGTAGCCACATATAACTAATGGTTTTGTGTAAATTACCCATTATCCCTTTACCTCCTCTTTTGCATGCAACGTTTCTAGACAAAGCTGCATCAATATGATTTTTATATATATTTTTAATGTAAAAAGTTGTTTCCCTGGTGATCCTCTCGCAAAGGGGACTTTGTACATCTGCTTAAAAGAAGATTTGTGAAATTAAGCCTTTAGTTTGACATGCTGATCAACTATCCAGCTTGTGTGAGTTGTGACCCTTGCACAATGCGTTAACTGGCGTGCCATAAAGGATTTCTCCAGTTTCTGTTTCAGAGGCATCTGCATGACCAACCTACTATTGGTAACACATTGGATTTTTTTCTGTCATAGGTTATTGTTTGTACTAGATCTACAATGAGCGTGTGTTTGTCCCCTAAAACTCATCACTACCAAGAGGGAAAAAAAATGAAAACCATCTGTAAACTAGACTGTTGCTTGACGCACTAAACAGATGTTGACACTGTAGTTGCACTTTGATGGCCACTGACCCTAAAACCATGGAATTACAGTACTGCATTAGTCCCTTCCCAACAGGGAAGATGTTGAATTACAATTATTACTCATGAAAGTGTTTTTGGGTTGTTTATTTTTTTTTGTAAAGGAAAAAAAGTTTTTATTTTATTACTGTTTTTTGGAAGATTAGCAGAATTATTTTAACGTGTTTTATGTTATTAAAAATACTTTGGAGCTTGTTTTCAGCACAAGTTTTGACATTAATCACTCATAGTTACCTGTTAAGCTCTGATGGCACTGACTGACTGGTGCCATTGTACAAAAATCTCTGTTACACTCTAGAGATCCCTGCTATATCTTGTGGTCAGGACATATTAATCCTGTGGCCGTCCAATAAAGTCTCAGAAGCAGAGATGGTCTGTATTTGTAATCCTGTTTTTGTCTGTCCCTTTTATCATTTTCAAGGCTTAAGTTTCTGTGTGTGGTCTGGCTTTTATTTTTTTTATTTATTTTTTTGCTCCGATGTTAATCAGCTCATTGCATTAAAGCAGGGCTCAACAAATCCCAAGTCACTAATAAACTTTGTCCTGGCACCTAGTCACTTTTCAGCTTGGGCGACTGGCTGAGGGAGTGTGGAGGCAGGTGGTTGGTCAGCTGTAAGAAATGGAGGTGGTGACAGCAGCCCTACTAGATCTCAGGGAAAAGATCTACTCTAGCTCTTCAGAAGGGAGGGTGATTGGGTGTACTTGTATTAGAATTAAAACAAATAATTTGTGTGAGTGTAGGCGATGGGCCCCCCTTCGATTGCATAGGAATGGTGTGGGTTTTTTTTTTTTTTCCTCCCATTTTTTTTCCCACGCCATGCCAGTCTTGCTGTGGCTATGAGATACTCATAGGAAAGCATTGGGAGGCTATCTGTACATACATGGCAAAATGCTGCACCAATTTGCTTCTCCTCATAGGTCCCCATCAATGCATCTCTACGGTGAATGTTTAGCCTCTCCACGCACAGCGTGGTGATGCTGAATGTAGGTGCTGCACACTGTGCAACACTGAGATTGGAAGCACTTAAGTGGCTGTCTGAAAAGGCAGTGTTTACATTGAAAAGGCTGCAGGGACAGGCTATAGTGACCAGAGCCTATAGATTAAGCTGTAGTGACTATAGTGACACTTTAGGAATTGTGTTTTTGTCATTAAAACCAAAGCGTTAGTTTAAAAAAGGTATTTTTTAATAGGCTCCTTGATTCAAAGCAAATTTGCCACGGCCTGCATTATAGGGTCACCTTCCCCTTATGAAATACGAGCATTTCATTAAGATAAATCCTTATGAAATGCTCATAAAGACAGTTAGAATTTAATGGAAATTACAAAGCAGTCAAAAGATCTCCTAAGACAAAGTACGGATTATGATAAAGCCTCTAGTTGACAGAAGTCATCTAACCCACTGCTATCAAATTTTTACTTTGGACAGCTTTCGCTTATGATGGCTGTGGGAATAAGCCATTGTCTTGCTCTTCATGTGTTATCTATGGAGGCACTTGTGGGATGTTCTATATACACCAATGTTATCTTGTTTTTTTTTGTTTTTTTTAAAGTACTGCATAAGGTTGAGCTCCTTGAGGATGAGGCAACAGAAGGTGAAGATCCATGATTGCAGCGTCCCAGATAAGTATAACTCTCCTCTGATGCACACAAGTATGGAGTTGTCACCATTGGGTGGGGCTAGGCAAAATATGCGAAAAGCCTAGAAGTAAACTAATCTTTAAATAGCTGATCTGGCAGGAAGTAAAATCTCCAGCTCTAAATTTGCTAGTTAGCCTCATTTGTGCCATCTAGATATCAATTTGCTACATTTTGGTGTATAAGATTAACAGCCTATCTCTGACCTCCCTGGGAAGCATTCCAGAACTAGTGCCATGGAACTTTGTTCCAGGACCTTTTGTAACTGACATGAAGTACTATAAAGAAAAAAGACAAGTAATAAATGGCGCTCAATACACGTCTAAAATTGTGAAAAACACGTTTAAACCTATGAAGCAGCTCCCTTATAAAGTGCAATATGAAGTACTATGCCATTAGAAATGACATATGGAAGCATGTTCTATTTTAATCTTGTAGAATACAAATCAAGGATCTTTACATCACATCCCATCCTTGACTTGTTGAAATTAAGTAATTGAGATCTTACACTTCTAAAACAGAGTAACATTTTTGACTGTCCTTGAATTGTTTTGTACAGAATTGAGGCCAACTAGCAAACTTAGCAGAACTGGAGATTTTATTTCCTGCCAGATCATCTATTTAAAGATTAGTTTACTTCTAGGCTCTTTGCATATTTTGCCTAGCCCCACCCAATGGTGACAACTCCATACTTGTGTGCATCAGAGGAGAGTTATACTTATATGGGGCGCTGCCATCATAGATCTTTACCTTCTGTCACCTCATCCTCAAGGAGTGCAGTACTTTCACAAATCAAGATAATACAGAAAATTGGAATATAAGCAAAGAGATCTCATGTAATATATATCATGCAAAGATCAGATAAAAATTAACATGCCTTTATGAGCGTTAAACCAGATAGTGTCATAGTAAATAACGTCAGATGGCAAACATCATTCATAGACTTGAGTAGAGGTAGGAGGAGCCAGGAAAGGAGGGATTAAAAAGAGGACAAATAGTATTTTCCATTCAAAAGAGTGCCTACAAGTGTAAAGTCCAATAGCAGTCCAGACGGGCAGGGTTCAAATATTTATTAATAAATAAATCAAAGGAAGAGCATCCGATGTCATAGTGCTGATTTAAAAAAAGTAAACTGAGGAGATCCATTGTTGAAGGTTAGAAGGAGCTAAACACTTCAGTGTGATTGCAATGCATTATGCACAGCTTTCCAAAAATGAACTATCTTAAGGCTTCACAACCACAGTGGAATATACAGCCACTGTCCAAACCACTCAGCCAACAGGGATCTGAATGGGTCAGCGATATAGCTTGTAGAAGTTTTTGAGTTCTCTACCAGCCCAGCAACAATTTTAAGTTCGTCTCTTGGAACATAGTGCTCTGTCGGTTGAGTACAAAGATTTTGTTCCCTTCCAACAAAGGAAGGAGGCGTAAGGTAGAGGGTCAGAGAGTGTTTGTGTATTGGACATGCTGCCATGTAAACTGTTGCCTGAATCATTGAAGTCTTCAAATGCAGTAGTGGGTGGGCGAGCAGCATGTCTGCTTTAAATAGATGTAGAAATTAAGGAGTTGAGAATTGTGACTGTGCCTCCGTAGTCTGTTCTCGGCCGTGGATAAAATAATCCAGGGGATGAAGGCCTGCAGATGAAATGACCTCACAAATACATAGGGGATCTTGCACTCCTAGGAAACTAAAAGCTTCTCAATTTAGCACAGTGGGAAAGGGGGGTGGTATTGCGATGGAATCATAGGAGTTGTATTAGCTGTTGGGGGAAATTGATACAAAATTTAATGCTTCGCAAAGCTACAGGCGTGTGCTTATTCCCAGGAGAGCATCTTCAAAACATGAGCATGGAGATACTCTAGGGCAGGGGTAGGCATCCTTTTGGTAGTACTGTGCCAAAACTAAATTTGGAAGTCCCTAGGTGTGTTGGTCCTATTTTGTTTAAATTAAGCTGTGTATGTTGATGTGTGCTGCTTGTGTTATATATGGGTGCTGCAGTTGCTTTAGTGCTTTGTATTTGTGAGTATGTGAGCTTTTATATTTTATATAGACTGTAAGCTTGTTTGATCAGGGTCCTCTTCAACCTATCGTTCTTGTAAGTTTTTATGTAATTGTCCTATTTGTAGTTAAATCCCCCCTCATAATATTGTAGAGCGCTATGGAATCTGTTGGCACTATATAAATGTTCATGTGTAGTTTGTGCTATTGTGTAGGATACACGTAGGCTGTGTATGTGGGCTACTTGTGGCATTTTGTATGTGGATGACATGTCACATAGTGTGGTGTGTGGAATTGCATGTAAGATGCTGTTTCGGGGTTGTGTTTGTGGGGATTGAGTCTGTCTGTGTGTGGGTTGTTTGTATTATTTGTATGGTGAGGCATCTTCTGCAGCTCTGTGTATATGCAAACAATGTGCGTGGCTTCCCTGGTGACCGGGCTGACCAGATGCAGGTCAAGGGCAGGAGCTCTTCTCCAGTGCGATGTTTTTTTTTCCTCCGTTCACAAGTGCTGGGAGGATGTGATCTGAGATCACTTCCTCTTTTTACTGCAATGTGCTCAGTTTTCATTAGCAGATATCTGAAGTACCACTGGAACTCCTGATAGGCCAGAGCCTGTTTGTCTCAGGCAGACTTGAGTGCTGTGCAAAGACACCTGGAGTGCCATTCATGGCACACGTGCCATAGGTTGCTGACTTCTGCTCTAGGGTATAAATACAGATCTGGATCAATGGTTAAAGAGTAATACATAGTAATCTCAGAAAAAAGCTGAGATGTCATCAAGAAGAGAATGAGCCAGCAAAATACTCCTGAATATTCGTAAAAGACGTGTTGGGACTTAACAAAACTACTCTGTAACATTAGGCTATTGAAAGCCCTACAAACATCAACAAGAAGGTGTCGTTATAGATTTTGCATGTGTGCATACTTTCTAAACTGATTGACAATTTTATGAGCTTGGACTCCATTGTGAATAAAGTGACCATGACTGACACACTTTTGTGCTTCAAAGAATGACACTATCAACCTCAGGTGTGGTGTATTCTATAATACTACATGTATGGCCTGTTGGCTTCCTAAAGTTATTACTTCATCAGAAAGAATCATTTTGTCTTCAGAAGACTCCTTAGGCTTGGGGCAGAGACTCTGACAGTCACCGGGCAAATGTCACGGTTCGCACCATGACATCCAGAAGTGCTCAACGGGGGATTTGAACTGTGGTCCATCTCTGCCTTAGTCCTGCTGTCTTGCTTCTGGACCACACCTAAGTTCTGCCTAATGTCTATCCTGGCCTTGTCTCCAGCACTGGGGGGCTGGACTTTACCTGTGGTTGCACCTGTCAATCTCAGCCCACCTGAAGCTGATGCCCAATTACCCAGGTAAAAGACACTGCCTCTCCCTGAGGGCAGTGTCGGTTCATTGACTCTGGCTCTGCTGTTTGGTTCCTGTTGTTTTGTGTCTTGATCCAGTGTTCTTCACACTGATTCTAGCTTCCGACCTTGGCTTGTTTCTTCGATTTCTCTGACCTTTGGCTTCCCCTGACTTCGGCTTTCCACGACTACTCTTCTGCTAGTCCTTGCCTGTACTGCGACTTGGAGTATATCCCTGCACAGACTGTAGAAGTTGGCGTCTTGCCTGGTCACCCTGGTCTGTTTATTTGCAAGCGTGAGCGTATATTTCTGTACACCGGACTCCACATCAGGTAAGACCCTGACAGCATGGTCGGAGCACTACACTCATCCTATCGTGGCAGATTAGTCTTAAGGAAAATATAATAAATGGGCGAGTAGGAGCCATGTCTGGCTGTGTATAAAGTATAATACTAATCCTCTAGGTACAGAGACTTCCAAAAGTTAACTAGAGGTAGTTGTGCCAAATAGAAGGAAGGCTGTGTTGGGAGAGATCACCCATGCTGGAGGAAATATTCTTTCATGGTCTAGGGAGTCTGGAGGAATGAGAGATGTGGGTTAAGGTTTGTTGGATGAGGCCTTGAACTAGCTGTTAACTTGTGACTGTTAAAGACGCATGCTTTGATCCGGTTTTCTTTACGTCTTTAGCATTGCTTCTTTTGGTGTGGAGAAAACCACCCAGAAAAACTAAGCAAGGGGGAGAAAAACCCCCACTCCCTCTATCTTTTTTTTTTTTTTGTCCTTTTTCTACGAAGCTCCAATTTGTTTCCTGACAACCTATGTCTTTGACCTTTAGCGCTCTATGTAGATGGGGTAGGGATATTTTTATTCTCACACTCCCCTTCAGTTTTCTAGTTTGGGGGGGATCACCTCCAAGAACGAACACACTCTCTGTGAAGGACTGCAGAAGCACAAATGTACAGAATAAAAACAAGTTTGGTTACAGTTCAGAGTGTAAATATTAGCAAACGTAAATGTTTGAGATACCACAGTACCTTTAACAAACATAAAACCTGCCTGCTAGTATGGAGATGCGGATAACAAAAAGGCAACCCTAGGCGTTTTTATCAGAGTAGGCGTTGGCCATAAAACCCAAAGGAAACCTGGAATCTCTGAGGACTAGGGCCAACCTCTCATGGAAATGCTTCTCCTGAATAAAGCCTATAGAGGTTCTGTTGGAACATCCTTCAGCAAGCCTAACTACTTCTCAGAAATATTTAGACCATTGGCAGTCAGTTGGGAAGCAATGCAAGTACGGGGTGAAAGCCATTCCAGCAGGTACACAAAGGGAATATGACATGGAAAAGGAAGGAAGTAAAAGGGGAAAGAAATGTAGTAAGACAAAAAAAGAGGAGGGAGGAAGAAGAGAGAGAGAAAAATAAAGAGATTGCATATAAACTGAGTACATCATGATGGTAATGCTTAGGTTGTTGACAAATGCCAGAGAAAAAGAACCCTGTAAAGCTCTCTAGTGCCTACCGGCAAGTCTCAAACAGCCCCGACTCCTGTGGGGGGACACGTGGCTAGCAGAAGCACACTGCTTAAACTACTAATGAAAATGGTACCGTGAAATAGGGAAAATAAACAATAACAGTGATTTAAAAGAAAAAAATCTGGGGGAAAAAAAACCAATGCAATAACACAATATATAGCTTCACCCTTCAAAGATGTTTCTAGCCTGAGCCCAGGCTAATGGAGGTAAGAGTAGCTAACTAGAAAACTGAAGGGGAGTGTGAGAATAAAAATAGCCCTACCCCATCTACAGAGAGCTCTAAAGGTCAATAACATAGGTTGTCAGGGAACAAATTAAAGCTCCATAGAAAAAGGACAAAAAAAAAGAGAGGGAGTGGGGTTTTTTCTCCCCCTTGCTTAGTTTTCTGGGTGGTGTTCTCCACACCAAAAGAAGCAATGCTAAAAACGTAAAGAAAACCGGATCAAAGCATGCGTCTTTAACAATCACAAGGGAAAGCGGGCTGACTGGGTGAGCTAGTTCAAGGCCTCATCCAACAAAGTTTAACCCACATCTCTCATTCCTCCAGGCTCCGTGAACCAGAGGCCTAGTATCAGGCACGTCTCAGATTTATAGATTGGCCCTTAGCTTCATTCCGTGACTGCTGGCTCCTCACAGCAGTCAGAAACAAGAAGACCCACAACAGATAAGTCTACGAAGGACTTGGCTTGGAAGAAATCTATAACATCTGAAGGCCTGGATATAGCATGCCAGGAGTTGCTTACATGGGCAAAAGGGCTGAATGGAAATCCCCATGTGCAGATCCAGAGTTCTGTTTTGTTTAGGAACAAGGCCCTGTGGGCCTTCAAGGTGAGCAGAGAAAGTTCATGAAAGACCACCACCTCCATGCCTCTGAATAGTCCAGGAGATTGTCGATATTCCTTGTGATAGACTTAACTAAATAGGAATAAAGGCAACAGATATTGTCCCAAGGGGAACCATTCGAAAAGGGCAAAGAGCTCGGTGGGCTCAGTTGAAAGATTTTGTGGAACAGGGCCTGCAGTGAGAAGCTCCTTTGAAAGAATCTACAGAGGCCCAAATTCCCCTTTATTGGATCACCTGCTCTTGTACATGAATGTTAGTGACCCTGCACATAGGCCTCAGCTGCATTGATCCGTTATGGAGGCAGGCATGTATTTCCAAAGGTGGAAGGAGGGAGGTGAATACAGCACAATATGGAATAAGAACCTTGTGACGCAAAGGACTTGGAAGATCGGGTCCCGCTGCCCCCTGCTTTTGCAATGGCATCCCTAGTGAATTATTCTAAACCCATAAGGATGGATGTGCATGCAGAAAATGTGGATTCTGTCTCAGGATAGCTGGAACTGTTAGTGTGCATCAAACGTGGTCGGCAGCCAGGCCACTCCCCCAAAATAGAGTAACTTTACATCTGTAATCCATTCTGCAATCAAGCTGGATTAGGGCCACAATAATTTCACTTTTCTACTCACCTGTATTTATACAAATAAATCATATGCCTTTCTAGACCCCTATACGTTTGTATTGCTCCTAAGTAAGCCAGAATCTTTGCCCCAAAGGTTATTAGTGAATGGACAATGTTTTTTTGTTACATCCGGCTGAACATATTATCTTATATGCATCTTTACTTATAATACTGTTATTATATTGGCTTTGGTCTATACATTGAATACACTACCAAAGTTATTTAAATAACTCATAATTTTTGTAACTTGAATCCTCCAGCTGTAATTCTAACTAAGATAGAGAATTTCACCAAATCAGCTGTTTTAATTTAATATGCTAAAATTTGAGTTTAGTGAATAACCCGGTTTATGGGGTGCGGGATATACTTTAATATGGTGCCACCGCTTTCCTTCATTGCTCAAATTAGAACTCAATATAGAATTATCAGAGTAGTTACCTTATTGCCTTGGACACTGCCAGCCAATAGCATGTGTAGTTCACTAGTACCAGTTTGGAAAAAGAAGACCTTTGTTCAATAATGAAAATACATTTTCTTAATGCACTTGTAATAAATCAGATTGAGAGTTTTTGTTGAAATATATTTTTATTGCATTTTTGCTGATTTTACAAAAATATGAGAAAATAAATTAAAGAAATAAATATCCCCATTCCCAGGCTGTTGATTTAAAATAAGGTAAGCTGATTATGTTATCGGGATCTCCGCTATAGGAGAGGTACAAATATTATCACACAAATCTGCAGGACTCAAGTGGAGAAAAGGCCTGTTAAATTATCAATTTTGTTTAATTCTTAAGTGTACTAATGACAAATTTATGAGTTTCTGTCCCTATTGGAGGCAGTGTGTACTAATGATATTGATGTGTTTATGAACATTAATTGCAATGACACACAATAGGTGTGACCAAAAAGTACTCAATTACTAATACTAGTAATGTTTAAAGGGCAGTCCCTCCCAAGACTAATTTTAACCAGCTATAGTGCTATATTTGTCTCAGTTTCAGCTTTGCTTTGCTACTATAGTGCGATGTCTATTAGACTTCTTCTTTGTTTATATACTATTTATTATACAGTTAGGTTTAAGAGTTGAAAACCTGATAAGATTGTTGTGCCTAGCCAAATTAATACATATTAAATCACTTGTCTTCAGTGCGTGACTCAAGCTAACTACAGTATTTATTTTGAATACATTAAACAGACTGGGAAATGATTTGGGGTCATTTAACTCATCACTCTGTAGTTCTACAGAAACAGATCCATCATGGTTTGACTGTTGGCGGTTACATGTAGATAACATTTTAAGTTTGTTTTTTTAATTTTTTTATTTATTGTATTGCCCAAATCACAACTAGTTTATGATGACACTGCTAAAGAAGAACACTGATGGTTTGAAAGATGTTTGGTGTGAGATTAACGGAATCTAAATTAGATATATGAATACCATTGAATTACAAGCTTTGAAGACTATTTAAAGAGACACTCTAGTCATTGAAATTAAGTGGTCTGGGTGCCAAGCCCCACCCCTGCCCTCCATGTATTTACCCTGCTGCAGAAAACATGCCATTCTGCATAACAAATGTTTTTTATTGCAGGGTTTAAATGCCTCTATAGGCACTAACGATTTAAGAGCAGAATAAAACTCAGAAAAAAACATCTGATTGGTATAGTGCTGTGTTTTGGAGCTGATGAGTACTAGCATACTAAAAAGCATTGGACTGGCTGAGATCATCAATTTCGATGGTCTTAGCCAAGGAGGCAGATCTTCCCAATGGAGACTGGCATCACAAGGGAGAAAAGTTAAGTAAAATAAAATAAAAGTTATGTTTAAATTTGATGTTGTACTCACTGCTGTGTTTATGTAACTTTACAGATGAAATTGCTACTGCATACCTTTATCACAAATAAATGTCTTTAAACTTTCAAAGCCAAAAACAACTGTAATGTGAGGTTTTCGCTGGTCTATTACCAGAACCAAATCTTTGCACATTTCAGATCAGAAAATGTTAGAAGCCAATTATGATATTAAACTTTTTCTTTTTGGTAAACATACTGAGAATTGACTAATTAGCCGTTATTAAGATACTCTCTTACTTGAAATACAAAACTGTCAAGTAATTATTAAGCTTAAGTAAAATATTAAGTATAATAAGTAAGATGATTGATTTTCTCATATATTTAATTGTTGGAGAAGTCACAAAGTGTAAATAAAGCTGTAAATATTCGCATAATTTGAAAGAACATTGAAATAGAAAAATTAGTAAACTTTTTAGTACAGAGAACAGTACGGTCTGTGTAACTGTGAATGTATCCTACAGGAAGTGCAGTCTTTTGAAATAGTTTTGATGAAGATCTGCACTGGTCATCACTCTCTTTTGAAGAAAATATTTGACTCGGTTTCATTAGTACACAATGTCTCTCATGAAAACAGTTTTAAACTCAATAAGCACAGTCTTTACACACATCAGCCCTGCTGTAGTTACTGTTCCTTGTAGCGTGTCATCATCACCAGATACTTTAACTTCATAGAAAATTAGTTTATAGCCATTTTTGATTTTTATTTTGTTTTAGTTGTTAATATTAGTCTAAATCCTTTCTTTACTGGAGTGATAATAGTTACATATGCCTTATCATAAAGTACACATTTCAAGTATCTCCCTCCAATAGTACAAGAAGAGTGTCCCATACAGCAGCTGATAATCATCAAGGAACTCACTTTTCCCATTTATTTTTTTTATTTTTTAGCATTGTTAACAAAATTATTATTTTCCTTTGCATAGATATGATTCACTTTTTAGAATTCTGAGATTTTCTTTTTAGTTTGTTTAAACGCACAGAAAATCTTCCATGTGAGATGGAGGCATACATGGTCAATTGTAACTAAGACAATGAGCACGAGACAATATAACAGGGATCTAGCTATATCTAGATGTACAGGATGCGGGCAAGACAAGATATGAGTTGAGATAGACAATCTCCATCCCAGAAGGTGCTGTGGTCTGCAAATCCCAGCATGCATCTGGAGGGAAAGAAATTGCCTAACCCTGAATAGAATATAAGTGGAACTGACAGAACTCTCAAAGCAGGTCATCAGGCAGATCCAAACAGTCAGCCTGACAGAAAAGTGAAAAAAGAGCAATGTTACTGTAGTAAAGTATGTGAGTTCAGACCAAAATATATGCTGAGGGAAAAGTGTCTTTATTGAAGGTGTCTTGTAACTTTGTAAGGGAAACTGGCAGGTATGAGGTACTGACTGGTAAACACATGTAAAAAGCATCAAAAGAACATAAATAGCACCAGATTCACACACCCTGGCTGTAATAATGATGCATGACAGAACCATTATTAATACACCCCTAACCAGGATAATCCCTCTTAACTCCGAAATATTTGGTTCTAAAGACACACGAGTGTGTGTGTGTCTGTGTACATTCTGTGAGTAGGAACCTTCTTCATTTACAAGTATTTAATATTAGTGCCAGCTTAAGTTATTACCAGGCTATTATAAGGATAGAATTAAAATGGGACAAAAATAACCATTGTTCTGTTGAGAAGTAAAATTAGCCTGGTGACGCATTGCACTCATACTGGAAAGCACGAGTAACAGACTGTCCCATACAAATGTCTGATATGGTTGGGTGTCAAAGATGGTTTTTACGCTCCAAAGCAGAAAAATCTGGAAAGAGACGTTCTGAAGTGAGGTTTTTTTTTTTCTTCTAACTTTTCAAGTTTTTTTTTTGCCCTATACTCTACTGGCTGTAAAATACTTAAGACTGCTATA